TGGCACCATTTGAAAGCCTAGTTCTAAAGTTCATTTTATTAAAGGAAAGGTTTTTACCCCAAAAATGTGTCTGTAGAAGAATCCAGAGTTACTTCTTCAAAAAATAGGTAGTTACGCTTGAGCCAACTTTAATGGCTATAAAAGTGTTAAGTTGGGATTAATCGCTATCCATCTGTTAAAGAGGACACGTGAGATCATTATTTGGTTTTATAACCATAAAAATTGGTCTAATTGATCCCAGAGGTGAGCCCAAAGTTAGGTCTTTTTTCAAGTCACATTTATTGTAGGTGTTATGTTAATCGTTTATTAAGAAATTAAATGTGTTTTTCTTTATGGATATTTATTGTTCTTTCAAATAACACCAATATTGTTGGGGCACCATGATTGTGTCAGTAGAAACGAGTTTTCCTGTAAAACGTAGGTGGGCCGATTTTTGTGATGACCAGTGTAGTTCGTGACACCCAAAGTGGCCAAAAAGTTGTCGACACAACCTTATTCCAATTGTAACAAAGACGAGTTGAGAACTTTTTGGCTACTTTGGGTGTCGCGAACTATTTGACGCTGGCTGTACCTACTTAACATGCGTTTCACAAAATGAGCTTCTTAGCTTCCTACTTTTTTGTGCTCAAGCTACAAAATAACCTTTATGAGTTCAAGGACTTACGCACTAACGCAAATGAATTCAAAATAATTTTGGCGTTTCAAATGTGCACAAAAAATAAGAAGCAACTTGAAGCCATTGCCGAGTAGGTGTGAAATTCTTCACAGGATGTAAAACAGAAACGAAACTATGAAAGTTACGTAAAAAATAACACGACTTGTGCGTGTAAATGATATCTGGACGACATCATTTAAAAATAACATATTTGTCGCAAACCACATCCGTTGTATTTCAGTAATTACACGATAAGTGTAGAGTCAGGGCGTGTAAAGTTAGAAGTTGGGCTCTACATGATTTTTTAGCAATTACTAATTTTCAATTACAGAATTTTAAGACGAGATGAAATTCTCTTCTATGATGAGAGATGAAATAACTTATTTTGGTTTGATCAAAGGGAAATCTTCTGCCTCATTCCGAACGCTATTAGAATGTAACGACCTACTGCTCTGGAGTAGTTGGCCGTGCATAATACAGCATAATCATGTTCTTTCAAGTAAGTAATGGAGAAAATCTCTTCTGTGTGTGTCATGTCAAGCCAAGAAAGCTGGGCCAATGCACTGGTGCACGATACTGATGTTTATCTTGCAAATATACTGGTGGTTTCTACATAATGTTGTATGTTATGTTTCATTAACATTATTTCATAGGATAATAGTGTATTACCACTTGATATTTAGTCTCTAGTTTCTACTTGCTCCTGCCTGCTCCAGGAGAATCAGAGACTATGATTATATTCTTGCCTTATTTAAAACTATTTCTTTAAAAAAAATAACTCGTAAATGGGAATCTACAGAAAATTAGTTTGCTCGTATCAGCTCGTGAAAACCAGTCAAATTCCGCAATGCTACAGACATAACAAGTTACATAAAAATATGTGAATAATTTTATTGTTTGTAACAATCTTAGAGGGTCCAACGTAAATGAACGTAACTAACTTTTTGTAACTTTTAAATATTTCAACTCATCAACTGCACCATGCTTAGTCTGCCTAATGAAAGGTGACTCTAGAAAAGAGCGCCAATATAAAAAAAAATCAGATGTATAGTAATAAGTACGCTGAATTTGACGCAAAATCAACTTACTACCACCTACCCACATTTATCCACCTTTCATTAGCCAGGCCAGGCTCTAGATCTAAACTCCAGGTCAAATCTGCATTTGAATTGTTTAATACACAAATCCATACCACCTTTTAGAAGTCAATCCAGCACTTGAAACTCTTAACAAAGATGATAAACTCGATAGAACTGCAACTTCAATGGTCAGACCAAACCAATCGTAAAATAACACTCCAAAAACAATCCTAGGAGAAGCGTGGCTCGTGCAAGCCAAACACAGACTGGGACCCTTCGTAGATTTCGCATGTAAACACCAGACTTTCGGTTCACAGCTCGATGCGCACCAAGTAACTTATCTTTCACCATTGTGGCGCGTGCCGCCGTACGTAACTACCTGCCGAGTTAAAAGCGCAGATATGCGAGTCAATTTAAAAGTCAAACCCCTTATATTTTCTGCCTAATCTTTATTAACTTTCTTTTTCATATCTGTCGTTTCTCTCTTGGCAAAGCTGTCGTCATCGTGGTCAAGTTAAGGCGTCCACGTCGATGGTCTTTACCACAGAACCAGTAGCGGCGTAAGGGGGGGGCGGTGGGGGTGGTCCAGATCAGTACTCACGGGCTCATCTGCATGGTATTGTCTTTCAATCTTCGAATCGGTAGGTAACCCCAAAATCCTGGGGGGTACCAGGGGGTGCCTTAGGACTTATGACGGGGGGGGGGGGGGGACCGCCCCGGGTGCCAACCCATGTTACGCCGCCACTGCACAGAACATAGATATTGTAGTCTCTACCATGGCCTGCCTACAGCTCTCTCAGTCTACACGATCTTCTCCGCTACCTGTCTATTCCTGTTGGCAGACTGCCTGGTGCAGGCAGATACGCATGCATGCAGTTTCCCACTGAGGATTTCACAGTCAATCTAGCGCATAGGTGACCTGCGGCGCTATCTATCTGGTTCCCTCAATTTTTTTGCTTTACGACCTAGTCCCTCTACTCTACAGGGTTGTCAACTTGTCATCCCGGCTTACAAAGTATTGTAAAGTAGTATTATTGACTTTAATTAAGGCTTGGGAGTTGGGAGTGCGAAACTTTATCGCCATATTTTGTATTTTGTCATGTCATGTAATTTTACAACTTGAACATACATCTGAACAATATTACTTAACCTTGTTAAAAAGGTGTTACTTTCATGAGATGTTAGGGAATGTTAAAATATTTATTTAGAATGTTAGACTTCATACTTCAACCAATTACCACATTTAGCACGGTATGGTATGAGGGGACTAGGTGGGGACTATACATGCCAATAAGAAAAATGACGATTTTGAGACTGTCTTGTCTCTTCTGCCAACTTAGGTCTTCTCAACAGTAGTTTTATAACTTTAAACGATTTGTCGCTTCTACAAAAGTTTCTTTGATTCTTTATTGCAAAATAACGAACGCGGTGACTTATCGCGATTAAATCTTTCAATGTGGTAATGCGGAAGGGTGTTTGCTTGGACAATGAAATTGTCATGATGGCTTTATCATTCTAATTATTATTGTCCATTCTATTTGCAGAAAAAGAAATACTGCTGTAATTTATTAAAGTGTACAAATGAAAGGGGTTGATTCTACTACTTACTATATAGTTCAACAACTTTGCCCAGGCCCCAGATAAACAATATTTGCCTGAGACTTATCTTCCTATACATAATGTATTTAAACTCTCGGAACTGGCCCGCAGTTAAGTAAGTAGGTACCTACCTACATAGATACATAGTTCTCCTATCTAGTATTTTATCATCTTTATAAGTAGATCCATTTTTATGTCACTTGTTTGGTAGGTTTGATAAATAGGTATCGTCTAAATATCAGGGGGCTATTAAATTCGTCAATTCATTATTCTAGTATTATTAGTTTAACCGTCTAGACAGATCTTTGCCATTTTTAAAATTTGAGGAACCAGTTCGATGTGTATTTTTAGTGTTATTTATTCGTACAGTCAATGTCGTTAATACCTTAGAATACTATTAAACGTCTTCACCATTAAATCTTGACTACGCGTCTCGGTGAACACAAAGCTTAAGCTTGACTAGTTAACTAGTCGTTAAATTGAATCTGTTATGAACGAAACACTCTTTATTTCTTATAAAAACCACCATCACCATTATCAGCCTAACATGACACCACTGGACCTAGGCCTCCTCCAAAAATATCAATTTTCAAATCCCACAAATCCGTTGTTTCTTCAATATTGCTATCATCTACAGCTACACAGTCATATTAACATTTATTAGTTTCGTTTACGACTTTAGTGCTTGATTTTACTTCGCTTAGATACTTACTAGAAGGTATTTACAGACCGTTGGGATTGTTTCTAGCTCACCTTGATATTAAATTTTCTTACAAACAACTGCTATTTTTCTTTTTACTAGTGCATTATTTAGTTTAAAACGTCCCAGTTCACCCATTAATGAACGATCATAATAAATATGATTTTCATTCACATTAGGTAAGTACTTACGTCATAATTTTGTTTTTATGATTTACCATGCATTTGCATATTATATAATATTTAATTAGTGTGTCTGAATTTGCTTGGGGTTTTTACAATTTCCAACATTGATTGATAGAGACTGCTCGTCAGAAATTAGAGCAAGTGTTTGAACAAATTTTTGGTTAAAGAAACCATGACCATGAGTCCATGACCATAACTTGCTAATAAACATGATCGTTACTTGCCGCTTAATATGCAAATAGGAGATGATACTAAAATGTCTCGTCGACAAGGCAGTCTGTCTCTACTCTAGGTCTACATTTGTTAAGAATTAATAATATTGATAAATATTTTTGTTTGAAAATTAGGAGGGCTCTACATTGACGGAATACGCTATTTATCCATACTCTCCAGTTTTTCGTGACATAACATACTTAAGTATAAGTAGTTACATCTCTTTCTATTCTGTGTTCGATTGCGTCAACAACCGCACAAGCATAAAAGCCTGATGCTTCTGCCGGTGTACCATCTCGGGCTAAAAACACTGCCAAATTAAGGGACACGCCTCAGAGCAAGTACCTGCGCTGTTTATCTGTGCTTTATAAACACCGATGCCCAAGGTCTATGAAACCAGTTTGCCGCATATTACGTCACCGATTTTCCGCGAATTATGTTCAATGTCATGCACGCGGATTTTTACATAACGAAAGACACACCCACCGAAATCTACCACGTCGGTTGCCAGGTTTGTATTCATCAGGCGATTTCTTGTTTACGTTGATCGCTTACGCGACCAGTTTTTGCTTTTAACACCTATACCCCTTTACCAACCAGTCACTATTTGCCTCACACGTAGAGTAATCGTGCGCCCGCGCAGGCCCTACACGATGCTATTGAGAAACCTGTACAGAAATGCAGTTAGGTGTAACATTAGATTTTATTCTGGACATTCAGTTTATAACAAGCCCCCGAAAATACTTATAACTGGTGAGTTTTCATTTATTGTTCAAACGACGCTTGAAGAAAATTTAAAGTTGCGGAAAGTGGAAATTATGAACACGTGGAAGTTAATTTAACATTCAATTAATTTCTTACAAACTTAAAAATCTAATAAACACGACTTGTTTGGGATACTTAGCTAAAAATATTATTTCATTAAGTAATTGGTAGGTCCTACTTGGGTCATAGAAGTAGGTAAAATACCTACTTCATTTTATGTAACTAGGTAGAGTTCTTGGCCCCATTATACAAGGAAAATTTTACATCAAATTGTAGGTAACATTACTATTATTTTTATAATAGTTACTAATATGAATAAATTATAAGTATATTTTTACGTGAATCGAATTACCTACGATCGGACGTCTTGGTCCGTCACTCATGCCTACCAAAGTATTTTTTATCCACAACGAGGAAGCTCATTTTTATAAGGCATAATTTAGCCAGGCCAATTTATTATAGAGTCAATTCTAAGCTGCTCGGTCTTTTGAATCTACCCTAAAGTTCGTAAAAGAACCGCGTGGTTGCCCGTCTTTAGTGATAATAGAAAAACTGGCTCTACAAGAGCACAATAATACCTATTAATTCGGTATTCATTTTCAATTCGATGTTTTTTCACATTTGCATTGGAAATTAGCTTCGCGCAAATACCTACTTACCCACTTACTTAGTTACTAAGGTAAAATGTTAGAGACTTACATTTTAATAGGTCAACGTAGCTAGCATTTATTTATTTAAAGGTCAACATAGAGCGTAACCTCATTCAATCTTCCATAGGTAGGAATCGCATTACATTTCAGTTTCAGAGATTAGAATAGAAACCTTTTCATATAAATACCCATACAGGGTGTGCAGATAGACAGAACAACCCTTAGGCAAGTTATCAATGAATGCAACGTAACTTTGTGACTATCCTCTTTGAATATTCTGTACATCACTCCTAATAGGACTTACTTATCGCCTAAATGTATATGAATGATGCATACATTTACTTAGTAAGTTTTACCTATAAGTATGATACTTTTGTATTTTTCAATAAAAAAGAGGGCTTTAGCCTCAGTTTGGGTTCGATAAACACACTTGTGCCTACTTGAACCTAAGCCCCGAGGTCCAAACAGAACCGGTTTCCTCAATATGAGTGTAATGAACTGCATTATGGAACACTTAAAACTTTTGGAACTGACAAAAAACAACGTGACACAAATGTATGTCGATATCACGATGATGACAAAAAATAAGCCCATGAATATTTATTGATGTGCAAACTAGCTACTATTTCAATAAACAAATAGACGGGATTTACCCACAATTTATTTCGCGCACTACGTCGTTCTAGTTGCTCTATTCAAAACATGTTTACAAGTTCTGTACGAAAACCTATTATGTTACTACGTACCTAACACGGATGAGAAAAGCGCGTAGTAGGAAGCAAAGTAGGTACAGTCATCAACACATCAAGCTGCACTGGGATATCTTCATCAGTCGGCCGTTTGATGTAGTGGTTCGGAAACGGACTACTATGCCGAGAGGTCCCGGGTTCGATTCTCGGCCGGGCAGAAATTGAGATTATGAATTTTAATTTCTGTGACGGGTCTGGGTGTATGTATAATATGTATGTATTTACAAAAAAAAAGTATTTAAGTATGTTTATGTCCGTTGTCTAGTACCCATAGTACAAGCTTTGCTTAGTTTGGGACTAGAAGCGTAGTGTAAAATGTCCAAGGATATTTTATTTATTTATCTTATCTATGTTACTTAGAATGGGTGCTGTTAATCTCTAAAGTAGTTCTTTACTTAAAATGTAGAGTCTGGTGTAGTGACGACTGTACCTAATCAGATGCATTTTACTTATCTCAAGTATTGTTATGCACACGTTTGCACACGTGGAGTGTATTGATTGTTTGTTAGTATATCCAACTGCATAGTGTGCATTTACCTCATAAAACAAATCACTGTCACAGCGACATCTTGTACGGGCCAAGGAGGCAAGGACCTTTCGCTGCAAAAGTTAACAAAAAAGCCAGACTCACATAATCAGATTCTCCTGTTTGATAAACTTCTTGATTGGAAATGCAACATTCAATGAGTTATCCCAGTTCTGGCATCATTACCTCCCTTTAACCAACTTATTAGACGCGTACCAAGCTTATCTTGTAATAACTATAGCTAATGTACAAAATAATTTATATGTTTCAGGAGGACTAGGTCAACTCGGAGTCGAGTGCGCGAAGTACCTCCGCCACAAATATGGCAGAGAAAACGTCCTACTGTCAGACATCATCAAGCCATCACAGGAAATCGTCAACGACGGACCTTACCTTTTCGTAGACATTCTAGACTTTAAGGGCCTCCAGAAAATAGTAGTAGACCACAGGGTGGACTGGCTGATCCATTTCTCAGCTCTTTTGAGTGCCATAGGAGAACAGAATGTTCCTTTAGCTGTACGAGTGAATATAGAAGGAATGCATAACGTAATAGAGCTAGCGAAACAGTATAAACTAAGGGTGTTTGTTCCTAGTACGATTGGAGCCTTCGGACCAGATTCCCCTAGGAATCCCACGCCAAACATTACTATACAAAGACCTAGAACAATTTATGGTGTGTCGAAAGTGCACGCTGAACTATTAGGAGAATATTATTATTACAAATTTGGATTGGACTTCCGTTGCTTGAGGTTCCCAGGAGTAATTTCAAGCGACCCTCCTGGTGGAGGGACAACAGGTCAGTGACTTATGTTTGTGCCCTTCCTGAGAAGAGCGATGCTTGTTGCAGCCTTTTGAAGCCTCTTTATTGTAAAACATTTTGATGAAATCCATTTACCACTGACTTAGGTTATTTTTAACGCCGATCCTCTAATTTCAGACTACGCCATCGCAATTTTCCACGACATGCTGCGCAAAGGACAGTACCAATGCTACCTGAAACCAGACACGCGGCTGCCCATGATGCACGTCAAAGACGCGCTTCGTGCCCTCTCAGAGTACCTGGAGGTTCCCAACGAGAGACTGACCAGGCGGGTCTACAACGTTACCTCTATGAGCTTCACTCCCGAAGAACTTGTGGAGGCCATGGCGAAGTACATGCCAGAAATGAAAATCACATACCAACCTGATAGTAGGCAAGAAATTGGTAAGTGTTTATTAAATTTTATCTGCATTGTTGTCGAACAGTTATTAATTTATTTATCAGAGAATAAATTTTATAATTATATATTAATTTAAAATGACTTAAAAACTAAAATGTAAAAATTACTAATGATAAAAACTATTTACAAAATAAAAAATACTTCACCCCCAGCGCCGCAGTCAGGAATGGTGCCCAAAAGGCTGGCAGCATTGCCACGTTGAATGGCCAGGCTTATCATCTGACCAAAATAGCTTGTTTATTATATTTTTTGTTCTTCACCTACTGCGTTTTAAAATATGTAAACAGTGTAGAGCTCTCTTGCACAACATAACAACCATTCAATAATATTTTGCAAGTTTTTTTGATAGTTACTACGTATCAGAATTAAGTTTCCGCATTCTTTAAAGCCATGATTTTCCAAGTTAGTAGTTATATTTTTTGCGTGCAACTTTTTACGCCGCACAAATATTGACAAAAACTAATGGCATCATAGCACAATGATCTCGAAGGAACGTGATTGTTGAATCTAAGTATCTTCTTATGCTATTAAGTAGATAGACAGAGACTGCCAAGCACACATTTAGGTGTTAGTAGGCCTACTTTGGTCTGCTCAAAAAATGTGCATAGGCACACCTCTTTGACTATGTATATCGTACCGTTTTCGTCTTATTGTAGGTAATTCGGGTACGAGGATCATGTAGGAATAAGTATCTACTTCCGAGATATAAAAAACAATGTTTATCGATATCGGTTACTTACCTAGTTTGGTCTGAATAAATTAAGTTGACAAATTAATCTCTACATAATTACAAATATCAGAAATTGTAAAGAGAAAGGTGTGTAGCTTCCTAAAAATGTTTTGGAAAATGAACATAAATAAGCATGGCACAAAAGTATGAAGTAAAAGTATTAATAAACGTTATCTAGGTCACGGCAACTTCATGCGACTCCTTATCGGGCGACTAAATTGCAATTTGCAGCACGTGCAACTCCTTCAAGTCGAGTTTGTTATAATTTAATAACTAATGGTAACAACTACATAATATGAGGTAAAAAGAGCCTGTATACCTTGACCAATTGAAAACCTTGTTGTGACAATAAGTTAATAAGCTCCGTGTGTGAGATATTTCTCACTTCGTCGACACATCGACTAACATCGCTCTATCTATGTATGGACTCTAGGTACTAATCTGTGTCATTAATAAGCATTCTAGTTCGATTCAGAATATTGATCAATGACGCTAGTTAGGCATACTCTACTTAGAGCCAGAAAGCGAGAGTGCATCGACTCGGATGTACGACGGGTCGACGAGTCATTGGCCTACAAAATAGGCACCGTATGCTCTTACCACTCTGACTTTATTTGCTTGACTCTGCACTGCGCCGTCTGCATACCTACACCCTATTTTTTTTTAAGATTATCTACTAGTAATTTGTTATTGCACAAATTACTAATAGTCCCGTTAGCCCCTGGTACTCAGCTAAATATGCTTGTCACGACACGAGTGAGCTCACCACAATAGTCGAGCGGCGGCGGGGACCGAACCCGCGTTCCCCGGATCACGAGTCGGCCAGTCCGACCCCTTCACCGTTCGGCTATCGTGGCTTCTGTAGTTATTTGATGTTATCTAAATAAAAGAAGTTTGGCAAATAAATATTAAACTTGAACTGCCTCTTTTCAGCGGACTCCTGGCCCCAAGTGTTCGACGACAGCGAAGCCCGACGCGATTGGAACTGGAAGCCCGACGTGGACCTGGATCAGCTAGTCCAGCTCATGGTGAAAGAAGTCAAAGAGAAGATAGTAGCGAACGGGTTCTAGATTTAATTGATAATCCAGAGGGCGCCCAGCGCTACTTTAGAGCGGGATACAAAGTCACATGGATGGGTGAATAATTTTTCAAGGCATAGCTTGTGATTTGAATTGAAAGGAACGATACAGACCTAGTTTCAGAATGAGATTATACTTAGATGCGACGCAAATCCACGCAGCGCTGGGCAGAGCAGACATAGATTTATGCCAAACAAGTTCTAATGCTATGGGCATACGGTGCTTAAGTGTTCAAACGCCGACAATGTAATTTAACCGAGTAATAATAGAATCGTCATGCTATGATATGCTGCGTCATTTGAATCTCAGCAATCAGCATCAACCTTAGATTGGCCTAGAATTTTGTAAATTGTAGTGTCAGTTTCAAAGCGCCGTATTGAAATTCTCCCACACCTGTCCAGCTGTGAGCTGTAAGCTTTAAAATCATACATAGGTAGTTACTCGTCTTTATTCTTTGTATAAAAAAATGCAGTCACCACACCAGCTATTTCGTTATGATGCAAGTGGTTCCACGCGCGCTCATTGCGAGATTGCGATCAACGCAGCGGAACGGCCTAATCTAGGAACATTTTGTTTGTACCCTTACACAATTTCGTAATGTAGGTATTTAGTTAGGGTATCATTAGGTTATAAATTATTTGTAATTTAATTATAATTTGGCAATATAAGGACAGTAGTAACGAGATTACCTACCTCGAGATTATTTTTTTTGCATTCCAAAAAAGTGTAATAATAATTTTCTGTGTTGCTACTTTGTACCTAATGTTAAAAATAAAACCAATTTTTAACTGAATCAATTCCTTTATTTGAACATCCACAAACCAAAATAAACTTTGCCTTAACCTAAGTTATGAAAATAATTAGCGCCGTCCTGACGGCAAAATGGCAACAGTGCGACTCGTATCGATTATTATTACGATTTTAAAAGCAAATGAATACGATGGAAAGAGATATGATATTGAGTAGGTACTACGACTTAAAGATATATTCACATTACGGTGCATGGATGCACATAAGTAGGAGGTATAGAAATCCTCGTGTTTACACCGGCTCATACAGCGGGCGTAGCGTGAGTTTACATCAAACGCATTTGACATCGATTGCGTTAAAAATATGTATGAAAATTTCTTTTAGTTCTTGAAGGTTTCCGCTAGGGACGCTGTACAATCCGTCATACATTTAATGTCACTTTTTACGCAGTCACTAGTGAAGACGTTCGATGTAAGTAAACTCACACTAAGCCCTCAGTACTATCTGGCTCTTTGCACTTTTTACGAACGAGTAATTTGTTTATTAATAAGGCATTCTCCATAATGACCGGTTGGTTGCGACCTGCCTTCATTGGAGGAGGCCTATGTTAAGCAGTGGACGTCCTATGACTAAATGATGATGAAGGCATTCCCCGTTTCTTTGTGAACATACCTTTATGTCCTGAGAAATGCATAAAAGCATAATTGGATAGTTGACACCATTAATCTAAAAACGAATCAGTGCTTTATAAGTAAATTTTTTTAACTAGTAAATGGGGTCTAGCGTATTTGCGTTCGCTAGTTGGCGCCAGTGGCGATAAATAAGGTACTAGTGGCGCCAGCTCAGTGAGTGCAAATGCGATAGTTCTTCAACCGCAATCACCAGTTGGATCTAAAGTCATGTCAAGTGATGAGCTTAAACAAAACACGGAAGGTAACATCACGGTAGACAGACTGGTGGTGTCAATTATCTCAATTAAATTGATTATTTTAACATATTTACGTATCACAGTGATTTACTCCTATGGTTCAGAAGCGATTGTCTTGTATATTCTATTCATTTGCGTTTTGCTGATACTTTGCACCCACAGTTACCATACATCACATAAAATAATAATGTTGCATAAAGTATTATTTTATAATTATTACAATGGCTTTGTATTCTAAAATTAATATACGACAACATTTAAAATACACTGACTTTAACTCGACCGTAATAAACACCCAATATGAAAACATTGTAAGTTAACGTTTGTACAACTTTTAGCAGACAAGTCTAGTCATCAAGTTGTAAAAACGTGTAACTGTAGTTACAATGTTATTCATATTTGGTGTAACAGTCACCTAAATAAATTAATAATAAATTGTTAGTCGCATTAATATGACGTGATGAAAATTTATTATGAAAGAATAACTAAAAATAAGCCTACGATATAGTAAAAAATACGGAGCCTACAGTACCAGGCAATAAATAATTTACAGCTTCTAGACTCCAAGCTTCACTTTCACACCTCGAAGTTTAGATCTTGAAATGACAGTTAACAACGACGAGCAAATTATTAAGTTTACTTTTTCATTGAAATTTAAACCTTAGTATGGGGGAATAAATTACTACGCAGAATTTTGTCCAATGACCTCAAGCTACCCATCCTTATCGCTCGCGCGTAATTATATTGCTGTCGCGACTGGGCGACGAGCACCCACAACAGCAACAGCGCGAGCGATAAGGATGGGTAGCTTGGGGTCATTGGACAAAATTCTACGTGCTCACACACCGGGTTAACTCATGCCATCTGGAAACCTTTAACAAGCACTATAAACTTATCAACAACACATAACCATCATAGACTCTCTACCATTACCTCTAATACAAATCCTAGCACATTACAAGTCAATGTATTATTATTTCTTGCCTGGCACTGTGCGTTGTGTTATTTAAGTACCTACCCACAAAACATGGATTATTGACTCCCAAATCACACTTTACACAACTCAGTCTTCCATTCGTTACTAACAAGCAACACGATCTTACAATATATTCCATAATTTAACAATAATGATAAATATTTTACTATAAATACATATGTTCGTTATTTCTCTTGTTATATTTGTAACTTTAGGTAACTTTAACTTGCTATAACTCGGATTTAAAGTCGATTAATACGTTAATCATGTCCAAAATGTAACTACTGGACTAGTTTTTGAGAAAAGCTTTATTGCGCCTGCACTATGAAACTATTTCTTACTAAATACAGCAACTGGATAATTTATAATACCTTCTCGTTGTAACAAAAGAGAAGTTCCAATTACAAATATTACTAGTTACTTTCAACTAAGGCAGCTGGTTTCATTTAGTACCTATTGGCAAAAATTAAAAATCAATACAAATAATATTATGAAGATTTGTACAGTGTCTGCGTCTTCCATGACATTTCTAAATTGGATCCTGAGAATGAACCATTGCGAAAGGAGCTTAAAAATTTAAAATTACGTTATAAAAATCACATATTGTTTTATGGACGGCCTAGTATTTATTGAGTAATTTAAATATTTAGGCCAAAAAAGAAAAAATATCGGCAATATGCTGCGTAATAACACCTAATTTGAAAGCAGTTATAAAGTACTGAATAATATATTTTATAATGCACGTTTATTATAACTATTATTTGCATTTACAAAAATATTCGTTGAGAAATGGGAGGCCATGTTTTCTGTTAAATGCAATTGATGACGTAGCTCTCCAATTCTTCAACACTCGCCCATCTTCTAAGTATATGAATATTGCACCTTCATATTAGATCACATTTGTTTAGTTTGTATTGTAACAAAAACCATTATCTTTCATTATAAAGCCTGTCAATGGCACATTTTTTGGAAGTCCAAGAACCACAACAAACGAGTCCACATATTAGAAAGGGTAGCCCCCGCGTCGATTTGAAACATAGAATAAATTTTAAAAATACAGAAGCGCCACTTCATTATTATGCCATGGCTTCCTTGAAATCAAAAAATGCCTAATTTGGAACACCATCAGTAAAATTTAGGCCGCAGTTTACTTACACAGTGGCCAGTTTGCTACATGGTAAGATAAAGTGGTCCTATCACTCTATTGAATCGACTAATAGTGAGGCCACACACAATTCTGAAAATGTGTTTTCAACTTTAGGTAGAAACGAAAATGTATACATTGCAGTAAACAGCGTAAAGTATTTAATTTACCATTTAGTAAAAAAGTAATGCAAGACAGTAACTTGCGAAAGTTAGTCACGTTTCAAAATCAGTCATATTTTAAAAAACTTTCTAAAGCCATTATTAATTCTATCTAATGCGAACCAAAACCTAACATATTTTTTGTTAAAACTAAACATTTCAATTAGTGATCTTCTAAGTTCTTGACAATGAAAGTGTAAAAATACATATAGCGTTTTAAGAATTTTTGTTTTAAATAACATACATTTATTTACATTTTATAAGATGAAAAAAGTTGATAGAGATGAAGATGAAGATGTAAAATCTAATTCAATGCTAAATTTATACAGAAGCAAATCGATAGCCAAAAATGTATAAAGTGAAAATGCAAGAGATATGTTTAAGTGCATACAAAATAAGGTACCTACATTGCGTAATAAAAATATGCAAAATAAAATTAGGCATAATTATATAAACTGGTTACATTTTAAACATTTAGCTTAAGTACTTATAACTTACAATAAAGAAATGCAACACACATTACGGTTTAAATAAATTTGAGATTTCTGAAAAAAAAAGCTACAAAAATTGGAAATAAGACATCACAAAGAAATAACAAGATTTCCCATTTTATCACTGAAGAATCGCAACGAAATCACAAACGATGATTATGTAAAAAGTTATGGCAAGATTATAATATTATTAACACCCAGTATCATCTTGATCATGAAATAGATATAGGCCTAATAGTAATTGATAACGATAAAGAGAATATGTCCGTGTTTTTGAAGTAAGTTAACTTCATTTTAAAAAGTTGCAAGTCATTTACTTTGCAGAGATGTAAAACAAATCTTTATCAAACTTTTTTGCCTTTCTTACTTGCTTAGTAGGAGTTAACAAAACACGCCCTCAGGCCAGATTAATCTCATTGATATTTTTATCTGTACAGAAATTTCATTTTCATTGTAATGAACCAATAGTCAACTCCACTGCACTGATAATGTACGGTACTGGTTAGATAATAAACCTACTCTTTCTTAATACTACAACATAATTGATATTTCTGGTAATAAAATTACCCTGCCGTGTAACATACTTACACAATCACCTGATTAGTCCCACTAATGTCGCTAGATCTAGATACCAAGTGTTAATTAAATAACATCATCAATCAACAAAAGTCAAACCATATCTCTAAGATCACATTGAAACAAAATTATAACAATTCTTCATGCAATTTGTCAAAGCTCAAAACCAAACATTTCTTTCAATTACATTGAACGAAAAATTTCGTACCTATGACTTAGAATAATAATAAAGTAATGGAAATTATTAGTTTTATGAGTACATGACAACATGACACATGGAATAAAATCCATGTATTATCCCACTAGTTGTTCTTAAGCCTACGCTTACATTATAATCATTCATTCTTCAAGCTATTTTTTCCAAACATAAAACAAAATACTGATCTATTCTCAATACCAAAATTTTCATATAAAACAACATTCCTCTCCTGTCTTGATCCCATGTACTCAGTGACTGGATTTTCCACCTACTGGCATATCAAGTGCAAAAATATGTATGGGTCTTACTTACATACCTACCTCACATATTTTTGTTCCATGTCATCCAAAAGCAACATTAGCAAAAATATTATCTGCCTGCTAGCTTTACTATGATAAAATTGACCTCACATCATCTTATTCAGACTTCAAATGCTGTTGTTGTTCCCTGATCATGTTAAGCTCTTTAAGGCGCTGTCTGAGTTGTGCCTTCTTTAAGTTGGTCATAATCTGTGTTGACTGATACAGCCAAGAACCCTGAAAAGAATTTTAAATATGTTTAATCTAATTGCAAAGAAAAAGTTATTGTTAAAGTTTTTGTTTTGAGTGTGTTATCTTGCCGAGTCTGAACTCTATGAACTATTAACAAAACAAATAAACTTAATTAATTGTGATTCTGAGAGTTGAATGAACATGTAATTTACAACTTACCACCATTATCATGCAGTTCAGTAATATTGGAATGGAGAAGACGACTGATATGAACAGGCCCTTGCTATCGAAGTACTGCTGTCTAGAGAACAACGCCCAATTACGAGCCGCAACTTCATTTATACTCTCCGAGAAATATACCAATAACACTGAAAAGAAAATAAAATGGTTTTAGTTACACAAGTGTTTTTCTCTATTGCTATCATCTTTTATTAAGATTTTACTAATATGTTAGTTTAATCTTAGATCAGGCAATCATTGTTAAATAATATAATATGTATAATTCAATGAGGAAGTACCTTGGTAATCTTGGTATATCATTACATTGTTAAAATTTACGCTATTTACGTATTACACTCATACATTCACAAAAGTTAACCTTTGACTCAGCGGCAAACAATGTAAAGTTTTGCATAATGTAAAACATCATTTATGCAGATATGTTTTCAGAACCCATAAAGGCATTTAACTGTTTTTAAGTAAACAACTTTTCATAAACAGTGATTAAATAAATGGACCTATAATACAGGCAGCTTCAATAACAAGTTTCTTCTTTGAATTAGGGTACATCAGTTATCAGCCTACCACAATAAGTATGTTGACATTCTTGAATGGATTGTGAATTTTATGTCTAGAGCGTATGGTCCTAGATCAATTAAAGACTATTTACATAGGTTGACTTGCTGTTGTTTGCATCAAAGATCAATAAAATTTATTTATAACATTTGAAAAATCTAATAAATAAAGTTGGTACTTACACAATATGATAAAAAGCACAACTTGGAAGTTTCCGTAGTTTCTTGTTGATAAACATGTGAATGTCACTATTATGTGAAATGACACAAGTGCCATTAGCCATGGGTCACGCCACTCAATCTGAAATTAATTTGATAGGTTCGTTAAAAATCATATTTTACAGACAGAAAAAAAAGTAAACCTATTTAGCTCCCTGATGACGACAGCATGCTAAAATTGCCTTGATATTTCAATCATAAAATTATAGGCTTTCCCTTGGGGACATTGATATTACGATCATAAAGTTAAAATAAATATAATGAACAATTTCATTACTAGGATTAAAAATATTCTACAACTAAAGAATAACATAATTTACATTTAAAATATAAGATCCTAAGAAAATATTATCTTGATAGTTTTTTACCAATTTTTAATAGAGCTATCTAGTGAAAAATTACCATTTTTAATTTAAATTAACCTGTTGAGACAAATAAATATATTTAAAAACATTATATCTAAAAACTTAAATGATTATACATACTATTGTTATTATTTATTATGTACTTGGCCTTAAGGCAGTGGGGAATATAAATAAATAGATAATCCAAAAAGTAACTTTGATTTGTTTACTTTGTTGTAAATTATAACTTGAAAAAATCATAAAGTTTAGTCAACAAAAGCACCAAAATAAAATTGAATTACATGGACAAGAAAATGATTCAGTTTTGTTATTGCCTGATATTATTTACACAGTTTCCTTTTGAATCACATTCTGAAATAGAATGCAGTAAAAACAATATCTGAAGTCAAGGTTAAAAATCCAATCACAATAATTTTGGTTGTTTTTGCAAGTCGTACTTAAATTAAAAAAATATGTTGAGTAACAAGATAAGCACCTACTTACATGGGCGAATTTAATTCAACGAGTGTCAGGGTCATCTGAACTAGGTACCTCCATTAGTTTTACTGCGCTATGCGGCAAGTTCCAATATTCAGAATTATTGGATAAATCTAGCAAATTTTAAATAACCTGTTTCTACCAAGTTAAAACATTTCTCAGCTAGCGAGTCCTTCAACTTATTTCGTGCGATTTCCGTAAAAATATGTACCGAGTACGGACTATCTCATAGATTAAAATTTACCAAATAAAATAGAAAGATACTTACACTGCGTATGTACGAAATGAAATCTGATATTTCATTCACCTCGATGAACCCTTCCATTTCCAAGTAATTTCAATAAAATGTATTTTAATTTGCACAATTTTCACATCAACAACTGAACACCATCACAAGAACAATTTTTTTGACAACTATTTTTTGACTTTGACAGGCAGCTGGACGGATATTTTTTATTTCATTTTCATTGAAAAGGCAAAGGTAGCGTATAGGTTACAGCCTTCACTATTTTTTATGAATGATATAATGATAGAACACACATGATACACTCTCTATATTTGATATTTGAACTTGAATGTGTAATAATAATAATAATAATAAAAATTAATACGCATATTGTCGCGAACAATATCTTGGCCCCTGCTCAGAATGGATGTAAGGTTGGGTCTCGTGGTACTAAAGAGCTCCTCCTCATAGACATGACCATTAGCCAACAAGTTCGACGGAGCAGGAAAGCTCTCTCTGCTGCCTGGATTGACTATAAGAAGGCCTATGATTCGGTGCCTCATTCATGGCTAGAGAGGATTTTAGAGTTGTATAAGGTAGATGCAACTCTGAGATCCTTTTTAAGCTCATGCATGGGGCAGTGGACTACAGTCCTTCGGCAACCAGGTGGTAGTGAGAGGTCTCCTGATCCATTGAACTTCATAAGGATTGAGCGAGGCATTTTCCAGGGTGACAGTTTGAGTCCCTTATGGTTCTGCCTAGCACTGAATCCTCTTAGCACTCTGTTAAAGGATTCAGGGCTTGGTTATCGGCTTCGAAGAGGGGGTGAGGTCATTAGTCACCTGCTCTACATGGATGATCTCAAGTTGTTCGCACCAAAACGACAAGACCTGGTGAAGTTGCTAAAAACCACACAGGTATTTAGCAACGCCATCAGGATGGAGTTTGGTGTAGACAAGTGTGCGGTCTTACATGTAGAGCGGGGTAGATTAAATATCAGACTATATCTTGCAATTAAAAATGTTTGCATATATTAAGGTATAATTGAGAAAAAAAATAAAAACAAAAATCACTAAAATCATTTTTCCTAATTAACTGAATGCGTTTACGAAGCACTTAATATGCTTATTACGTGTAGTTTTAAGAGCTCTATGAAGTATTATAACAATTCTGAATTAAATGTTATTAGTTAACGAGTGAGAATATTTTTGCATAATTTTGAAGTAAAAAAATAGGTAACTTTGAATTTGTATACCGCGAAAACTACTTGGAATTTTCAAACGGGAGTTTTACTATCATGTTTGTATAACTGAGCTCTATACGTTTCATCAAATCAATGAGAATGTCCGTTTATACAGTCCCATAACACACTGTGTGGCGCTGTTATGACCTCATTAAGGCATACTCCACTGCGCGTACCTACAATCCTGCATCGCCGGTGTCGAAGTTTTCTGCCCTGCTAAGTTGTTTATAAGAAAACCAAGATGGTGACATTTGGACCTTGGTCCCCGAGCACAACATCCGCTCGGAAGGAAGCACTAACACCTTAACTCCCTTATTGTGATTTAAGCATCATATCCCACAGTCTTATTATTCAAGTAACATTAAGTTGAAACTGTGTGTTACTTACCAGTTATTTAATATTTGCTCTACGTGCCCCTTATCATGGATGTTGATGAAAAGACCCCGGATCCTTCTGTAGACCAAACCAAATCTCTGGCAAGCCAGGCCAACGGTCGGTGTGTACACAATAGGCATATATCTCTCAACATTTTCCGAGAGAAGTCTGAAGAAAAGTTTTTCATTATGATCCTAAAAAAAGACGGAAATTAGACAGCTTTCTACTTACTACTACAATCCGGTCAAGTTAACTGCGCATCTGGCAGCCGTGACGTCACATCGACGCTCTGTTACAGATGGGACGAACGCAGGGAATAAGTGTGCGGGTAAGTGAGAGGGAGAGTCGCATTCCAGCGAGGTGCGCAGTTTGCCCGATCGTTGTACGTACGTACAGTATAAATTTTTGACAAGATGGAAAAGTTTAAGGTCAATGTTTTAACCACTAAAGTACCTGCAATTCTGTAAGATAAATGTATTTGTTCAAATCATTCTCGTATCGATCCAAGGAGAGTCTACAGATGTCCACCTGCTCCTTCTGAGTTTTGTATCTCGCTGCCAACAGCCCCTGGATACCTAGAGCCTGACGCTCTTGCAGAGTAAAAGCCAGACCCTATGAAAGAACACGATGAATTAAAACTAAAACTAGCCCTAGCTGACGAAATCAGCCGCGGTAAAGATCAAACATTATATTTTACGACACAAGTTACATCGCAAAGCAACGTTTTATCCTTACAATTAGGTAACGTCTTTGCAATCTAGTGCCCGTTTTCACCATCAATCCTTATTTTTAATTGATCCCTATGGTAACACAGGTATACCTAACAGGAATTTTGTTTTCATAGGGGTCACATAAAAATTAGGTATTACTGGTGAAAACGGGCATGAATCTCTTACATCTGGGCTCATCCTACTTACACCTTAATTGCTAGATGCATAAACTATTTGACGCGCAACACTAAGTTACCCGTGTTTAAGTACAAAAATGTGGGTAAATATTGATGATGGTCATTTTGATTCAACCTCATGGCGCAAGTACACCATGCGAAAAATTGACCGAGACGAAACGCGAGCCCACACACCGAAATATGGGCGAAATGCGGTTGGAGGACGGACGTCTCGGTCAATTTCTCCCGGACAGTGTACTTGCGCATTAAGAATAAAGCGTAGCTAACGACACATTGCAAAAATAAATACCTTATTTAGTCTTGGATCTCTCAGATGATCGATGCCTTTCACCCTGTTCGAAGTAAAGCCACTTACTGTCTTTTTCGAGTGGCCTCTACATTGTATTGTAAAAGGCTCAAAAACTATTGGTCCACTCACTACAATTTCCAGTAGCGCCTGATTGGGCTTTTTCACTATTTTGCATCTGAAAATATTATTATTATTTCTGTCAAATTACAAACCGGAATTGCGCAGTCATTAGCTAATAAAATGTTAGACAATACTCACAATAATAATCTACAAATATTAGAAAACATCTCAAAAAATACTTCGCATTGGTAAATCGTTCGAAATGTATGACAATCTATGTCAATCAAAATCTTCTTCTTTCTTCTTTGACTCTTGACAGATTAGGTATTTTCATAGATTTATTTTCAAAGAGATTTTATTTTGAGTGCTCCGCACCTATAGTTGTGGATCCAGATTTTAAAAAGCATAAGCATGAAAAAATTGTTATGAAACCAACGAAAAAAATAACTTTAGTGTGTATATTTACACCATGTATATGCAATTATTATTGCTATATTCAATCAATATAACAGAAATAAGAAAATAAATTGTTATCAAAGGCTCAAGATTGCTGAGCACACTTCTATCGAATAAGCAATCACTTGGCCAACAAGGACCTCTAGACAGTACAATGTTTATCACCGATCCGATTAGAAATCGCTTCGCTAATCTAATAGGCTTGGACGACAAAACAATGAAACCACAATCTGTTTTGAACATGTTTAATTAGTAACATCTATAGTTTTTGTAACAATTGAACTAACTAAACATACATTAACTTTTTTCTATAAGCTGCGTTATTTGCGGGAGGGGGGAACAAGATAATTGACCTAAACAAGAAATTGCAAAAATAAATGAGACCCTGATACATCAAGATCATAGAACAATTAATATTGCATGATAATTGACAACTCACAATAAAACAATTCCATCGTAATTAAAGATCGGACAGGCAAAGTTAATTCTGTATTTGTACAGCTGCTATATTTACCCATAATTTATAATATACATCGTCACAGCAACATAATCACTTCGTATCAAAGATACTTCACATAAATAAATAGACCAAACAAATGAAATACTTAAAACAAACTCGTTCCTTTCGCTCAGCGAAATAAAACTGACTCACTACAAAATGTACATCAAAAACTAAAACTACAATAAATTTCCAGTCAGAATTAAATTAATACTACGACCGAAGGGTTTTTTTTTTAAATCTAATGGGACATACAGTAGGATGAAATTAAATATTTACTTAATAGGTATGTACCTAATGTGTTGATTTTCAGAAATTCTTTACTGGACAGCCACACATCTTTTTGTTTCTATTTCTTTGATCTGATCAAAGCATGATTTTTAAAATACAACACATAATACTATGGCAATACAGTAAACAAGTTCGATAATACTAATTCAATACTGAATCTATTTTATTTTATCCCAAATAGTGGCACTACATTTCGCTTGTTTTATTATCATAATTTAAACGATCTACGTATTACGTTCTAAATGTTTCATTTCACATTATTGGTTCATGTCTTAAAATATTCATAATAGAAAATGCAAAAAATTCATGACCTGCATATAATTTTTTGATGAAAATGTAATGCTGCAGTGACTAGAGTTTGATTGTTAGGTACGGACGACGGAACATCAAGATAATCATTGTAGCGCCTTATGCCCGTTTTCACCATCAATCCCTTATTTTTAAGTAACCCCTATGAAAACAAAATTCCTGTTATGTGCTACCATAGGGGTCACTTAAAAATTAGGGATTGATGGTGAAAACGGGCATTAATCACTTGAAATAAGTGCTACTTTACAACAAAACTGTAAAACCTGATGTGCGGTCGCCTGTACATCCCGTATACGAGTCATACTGTCAAATATAAAATAATACTCACAACATTAAGTAAGACGATTGTTTCATAATAAAACATTTCATTTATGACTTAAAATAAAATTATAATAACATAATCATTAGATTCGACTTAGCAAAATATACTGCGACGCGAAATTTTGTTTCAAACAAATAACAAATATTTCATGTGCCCGTCTACTTTACATAAATTCCAAATATAAATCATAATAAAAACGTGAAAATAAACGCTAGTTAGATTTTAACAAATATCACACAATTTTTATAGATACGTAAGTCGCCAGTGCGTAAATATTTAGTGGGAGAAGCTAAACAATGTGTTTCAAAGGCCCCGTTATTTATTAACATTGAACATGCAGCAGGTGTAACATCGATATAGCGTCACTACTACACTACCCGCACGTAAACTTATGACGGTCAAAAACACTACATGCAATATGATTAGATGAATATAATATCCGACTAACTCCTTACAACATTCAACATTATTTAAGAACATTAAATTCCATCATTGTATTGTAATCGATAATTATATCTTATGCAACAATTATTTAAATTTTTACCCGGATTTTAAATAAAATAAATGACAATAAATACGTGAACAGTCAAATGATTTTGACTTAAAAATAATACTCAAATGTGTAACAGAATCTGTTACTCGACATCTTTTAGTCGTTTAGCGTGTTTTTTAAATAAAAAGCTTTGTAAACAGCGTCATATATGAAACAAATGGAACAAATATGAAACACTCCAGTTGACGTGATACCACAGGCAAACGCCTGCCTGAACTTTGCTGCTATAGAACTGCTATAGAACCATCCAACAAACGTGGTATCTGAAGTCAACGCGTCGTTAGGTAAATCGTCAAAGTTAATACCGGTAAGAAGTAAGTTATTTAAAATTAATAATACTGTTTAGATGTTTTTGGGCACTGGCTGGATGGGTCGCACGTTGAATGTCTCCTCAGGCTTCCAGTCCCATACAACTGGCATGGAGGTCTCGTAGTAATAGCTGTACATTTGGTTTTGAACGTGTTTCGCCAGATCTTTAGGCTCGGGGTAGACGGAGGCCAGGCCTGAAATAAATTAAAATCGATTAAATTAATTATTTAACATCAAAATGTATAAAAACCGGAGTTATCAACATTTTAGAACTACATACTTGTAACATAATTTACAAACGAAGTTTTTACAGGACTATTCATATACTGACGCAACGTATGTATGACTATATCTATAAGTATTACAATTACCCTATTCGAAACGATATACTACTCAAGATAAATAGAATTGTCATTAAAATATTGACATCTCACTTCTGAGTGAGCTAAAATTATTCTTGGAATACAAAGTGAAAAGATAACTACATCAACATTAGGTACGTAAAATATCTTAAGTAACCTCCAAACGCATTTATATCTCCTTTAGAAATGTAAGTTCCACTCCGACTATGCCATTTTCACAATTAAAATAAACTAAAATCTCTTCTTCGATATCTTAACATCTATATTCTGTTTCATTATGTTTGACAAGGTGACAGCCCTGCAGATTCGGTATAGTCGACCCTTTCCGGTGGCCAAGGGTAGCGTTCGGGCAAGTTGGATGTGTAAAAGAAATTGTATTGGCACATCTTTACATGCTTTTCCAGGTTATTTGGCGTGGGATATACGGAACCGAGGCCTGGTAAGGAAATTTTAATTTATCAATCTGAATTCTAAGGTACTACGAGTAGATTCAGTTAAGTTCGCTGGACAAATGAGTCATAATTATGTGCTCGATTAATTAATAAACAAATGTATGAGTGTAACATTATGTTTCACGAAACATTACAAAAAACATTATCCATAACACCTCACGTAAGGTAAGACCACCTACATTTGGGAGAGCGAAAAGAAATGTATTTTCAAAACGAAGTGTTTTTACATATGTACACTGTACAGTAAGTAATGAAATAAAATAACAGAAATAATCGTCTGCCAAAAGCCTGATCAAAAAGAAAGATCATACTAATAAGAGACAATCATCCTACTATCCTACTAATCCTACTAATATTATAAATGCGAAAGTTTGAATGTCTGAATGTCTGGATGTTTGTTACTCTTTCACGCAAAAACTACTGACCGGATTTTGTTGAAACTTTACAGTATTATTGTTTGTAACCCAGATTAACATATAGGTTATAATTTTTGCCGATCTGTGACACTAAATTTCACGCGGGTGAAGCCGCGGGCAAAAGCATAAAAGTAAAAAAATATGTAGGTAATAAACTTAACTGTAAAAAATGCAATAATTACCTTCATCGTAAGCCATTTTAGCGACCTCAATAGCGATGGCGACAGACACCTCCTTAACCTCGGCCAGCGAGGGATAGATGCGGCCGATGGACAGATCTGTTTCGCTCACGTAGTTGGCAAGCGTCTGGAATTAACATTTGTACTTATAGACACGTTATTATGGTCGTACATCCTTTGTATGAATTTATTCAACTAACCATATTAAGGGCTAATTCTAAGATTTGTACGTTATGTATTTCATATTATTATAGTTCTCCTGCACAATTAATTTGTCGTTTCATTTAAGTGATAGAATCAAACTGCATAAAATAATAGGCTGGAATCTGCACGATCAATAACCGTAAGTCATTTCATCCAGTTGTTTTATTCAATCTATGTAAGTTTATTACAGTCGGCCGTTTGGTGTAGTGGTTCAGAACGGACTACTCAGATAGGGTCTGACTGCTGCGTCATTGGTTGATTTTGACATATCTGTCAATGTCATGTCAAAAATAACCAATCATGCAGCATTTGGACCTCGCGTCTACGTATTGCCATCTGGCGGATTTTTCAATCGCGAAAACCCTCATTATTATCAAACTTGTCGTTGCATGATTTGATGATTGTCTCGAACCCCGACAGAGACAAGTGACTCTCGGTCACCTGTCACCACTCTGTCTGGATTGCAAATTTATGATGATTGCTGTAAGTCAAGTAACGAAAGCTCTCCTGTATCCGTCGCTTGTCTTGGTTTAGTGCTGATTATCATGTTTTATAGTATAGTTGTTCCAATTCACGAAGGTGAGTGAGCTTTACATGTGTGGTAGCTTGCTACTGATCGTTTTTCAAAAGTTTTGATAGAAATTACGTGACATTACACTATCGTTATGTGCATGTACACACAAGAGTAAAGCTCACTCGCCTTCGTGAGTTGCAAGAACTACACTCAACATGAAATAAACCGCACCTTCCGCGACGCGAACTTTAAAGATTTTCTTCTGACACAATCATGGTACCCCAACAATATTGGTGTTATTTGAAAGCCCAATAAATATCCTTAAAGAAAAATACATTTCATTTCTAAATAAATGATTAACATATACCATAAATGTGACTTGAAAATAGACCTCACTTTGGGCTCACCTCTGGGATCAATTAGACCAATTTTTATGTTTATAAAACCAAATAATGACCTCACGTGTCCTCTTTAACAGATGGATAGCGATTAACATTAACTTAACAGTTTTATAGCCATAAAAGTTGGCTCAAGCGTAACTACCTATTTTTTGAAGAAGTGACTCTGGATTCTTCTACAGGCACATTTTTGGGGTAAAAACCTTTCCTTTAATGAAATGAAGTTTAGAACTAGGCTTTTAAATGGTAATATAGTATAGTAATATTGGTGGGTAGTGGGGATGCATACGTTTGAAAGTGCTTGTCGCGGGTGGGTCGATTTTTATGATGACCAGTGTATAACACTGGGTACACACCGCCGTGGGTACTGGAAACTACTGCCCCTAAGAGATTATTTCGCGTAGCATACAGTACAAAACACAAAAACACACACACACCACACACACACTACACACTTACACTACACAGGCAGAAAAAGTGTATTTTTTCTATTTTTTTAGTCAGTTTAAATGTTTATTTATTTTTTTTACTCATTTTTTTATTTTCGAAGCCCCCGTGACCATTTTCTCGACCAACACCTTAAGAGAAATGGTGGTGGCTGAAAACCAGCGCTGTCTAGGGCAGGTTGTCCTTGGCGGCACATGCTGAGCCACCTCCATTTGCTTTTTCTTTTAGCATAAGTTATTTTAAGCTTATAATGTAATTTTGTTTCTTGTAATTCCTTTTATGTATAAAAAGCAATAAACGTTTTTATTATTATTATTATTAACACAACTTACCCTAGCGGCGGTAAGGAACATAGTCTCCGGGATATGATGGGTGGCGGTGGCGATGACTCCCAGCGCGATTCCCGGGAATATGTACGAGTTGTTTCCCTGGCCTGTGTGGTATTCCTTGCCGTTGTAGACTGCGGGAGGGAAAGGAGAGCCGGAGGCGAACACGCAACGACCCTGGAAGGAAGGAAAATACATGATTTATGTCATAATAACCTTTTAACAAAATAAAATAATTGCCATCAAAAAACAAAGTTTATACAGGGTGTTAGGTAAATGGGTATATGAGCCGACACTAGCCCATGTTAACATTGTCATATAAATGGTATGGTGAAGTCAAAAAATTGATAGCTTCATTTTTTTTTTCATACAAATCGGATTTTATAAAATTTATTTTGTATGAAAATTAAAAAATTAAAATGATGATATCAAATTTCTGACTTCACCATACCATTTATATGCCCATTTTAACATGGGCTAGTGTCGGCTCATATACCCATTTACCTAACACCCTGTATAGCACAAAGAATTATTAGTATCCTGTTAGTCCTCCAGCTAAACTAAATTCAATGTTTGTAGGAAGTAAGTTCATCAAAAGCAACAGTCCAGCAAACAATGGATATTGAACTATCGAAACTCGAATCGGTAGTATTACACTGACACCATAGGGCTCTCGTCTCGCTGTTAGGGCCTTTGCTAAAACTCTGCGCCCGCACGCGGTTCAATTGAGCCAGTCTTAGCGGTGGCTCATAAATTAATTTAAAATTTAAATTTCTAAATTTAATTTAAAAATTAAAAATTGAACTGCCTAAGGCGGGAATTGAACCCACTAACTTTCGCTTGCCGGGCGACTGCTCTTCCATCTGAGCTACTTAGACACTGGATGAACCCGTCGTTCAAGTGTAATACACTGTTACAGCCCATAAATAGGTAAAATTCTATTGATATTTATTAAAAAAAAAACAGGCAGAGACCTTTTACGCCAAGCAGTAGAACACTTTAGTTGAGAAACTATGACAGCAAAACGATTTCGATACGCATTTCATTCGTAGGTATATCTTACGAATCTGTCACATACCTCAGTATTATCGTAGGCAGCCTGCGCGGTGCACTCCGCTTTGCTAGTGGGGTTAGACAGGGCGAAAATGACGGGCCTCTCTGTATTTTTCGCCATTTGCTTCAGAACATTGGGGGTGAAAGCACCGCCGACCGTTGAACACCCTGAAAACAAAATTATGTAATTTTATATATATTATGAGAAAGAAATATGGGTAATACAATAACACCAATCCATAACGCGATCGGGCTCCCAGTATAGCACAATGAGAACCTCCTCCTTTTTCAAGTCGGATAAAAAGGTTAGCATTTTAGAAAGGAATCTATGATGCTCAGGCATAATATACCTACTTACATCTTTCTGTCGCTAACTATTCTAACTGGAAGGATTCGAAATCTTTATCCACTTCTGGCGATGTAATCATAAACGTGAACCAACGTGTTTCTAATATCGTGCGAATTTTATCACGCGAAGCAATCCAGCGTCCACCCACGCCCCGCGTGCGTACAATAAATACTTGTATGAAAATGACACTAACGGGTGTCATGTAGGCAATGCCACGTGAGTGATGAATCCGCACGTTAGTAAAAACACCCTTAGCACAGATCGAAGACACTGTATTGTAATAAAACCTTTTGAAGCTATAGCTGAACTTACTAGTGCCCGACCGAATGTTCGGTTTCGGTTTCGTTTTCGGTTGAGTTTCGGTAAAAACACGAGTTTTCGGTTTAGTTTCGTTTTCGGCGGCAAACTTGCCGAAACTACGATCGAAACCGAATGTGCGTTCGGGAGTTTCCGCGCTGTTATCGGTCATGTTCGCCGCGTTGAATGAGTGAATGAATCCGATCAGAGCCAATGATTCGCTCGCTTGTTTGTTTGCTGTTAGTTTTGTTTTGTTGTGGTGGCGAGTTTTCGAGTGATTTAGTTTGAATTTGGTAAGTTTTATCTCGTTTTATGTCGTTATAACATAAGAGCAGGTGTAAACATAAAAAATATATTTAATATGACTGATAAAAGTATAATCAAGTTTAATCTAACCTATAATTTTTTTTGGTTCGCAAATGCTTTACGTAAACAAACATTAGTTAAGTAGTTAGTAATGACTATAGTGCATTTCATGGTGATAATATTATTATTATGGATTCAGAGTTTCAAAGTTCATTTTAGTATTTATCACCAAGGTATCAAGTGGCAAGTACAGTAGATACTAACTTAGTACGTACCAATTTTGTTTTGAGAAATTATTAAGGTAAAAGACCCGACCATGGGACGGGTTATGTAGATGTCCTGAATATTGCGAGTATTTAAAAAAATATCTAGACTATAAATCCTTCTTTTTCTTTTTTAATACATAATTTGATGCCTTTTAGAGTAAAAAGGCACTTTATAAGTTCAATTTTAATGCAATTTAAAGAGAAAACAATAAAGACTGACTGATTATAATAAAGTTTTCTTTATTTTTCCCTCAAAATATGAGCCTTGTAAGGAAGTTTCGGTTTCGGTTTCGGCCGAAATAGACACCGTTGCCGAAATTCGTTTTCGGTTTCGGTTGCGGTCGTAAAACTAGTTTCGGTCGGACACTAGAACTTACCAATCAAACAGCTAGGCTTGATCTTAGCGACGCACTTCTCAAAGTCGGACTCTGGCTCAATATCCTTTCCAAAGTTTTTCGCATGCTCAGGCACACCGCCCTCGCGTCTCGTAGAGAGTAGACCGTCCACGTCGAACATGTAGACTCTTTCCCGAGCCTGTCTCTCTGATAGACCGTCAGCTACCATCGCGGCCACCGTCAGATTCGCGATACCGTTGGCGGCCTAGAATAGAAGATATAGTTAGAAAAAATATGAAATAATTTGTAAAGGGGATATTATTGAGACAGTGAAAAATTAGACTATCGCGGGGTTTTCTCTCTGATAGACCGTCAGTTACCACCGCGGCCACTATCAGGTTGGCGATACCGTTGGCGGCCTAAAATAGAAGATATGGTTAGGAAACAAAATGAAATAATTTGTAAAGGGGTTATTATTGAGACAGTGAAAAATTAAACTCTTTCCCGAGCCTGTCTCTCTGATAGACCGTCAGCTACCATCCCGGCCACTGTCAGATTCGCAATACCGTTGGCGGCCTATAAAAGAAGATATGGTTGGGCAAAATGGCAATAATTTAAAGAAGATAGTGGAAAATGACAATAATTTATAAAAAGGCCATCACTGAGAGAGTTAAAAATTAGGACTCTATCTTGAGCTTGCTTCGCTTGGCAGCTACTGGTTAGATTCGCAATATTCGTGATCTTATGTGATTCTCATTAATGACGTACCTAGAATCTATCAATGTCCCTGATATAGTTCCAAAATACTGGAATGTCCTGTCGATGACATTGACAGTGGGGCGCCACCGTCAATACCGGATCGCTGGTTCAGATTTTTGCCATGTTGGAAACCATATAGTTGAACGATGGTAGCGCCCCCCTGTCATTGAGTTTGGTGGGACAGTTCAGCGTGGGTCATCTATACTAATATTCTTTATCGTTTTTCATTTGTTTTGCTAGCTCATAGAACTACTGGCAGAAATTCTTTATACATATAGATCGTTTCATCAACGGGAAGGAAAGGTCCTTACAACTACGTTATATTACACGTAACAGTATACTAGATCTTACCAGTTTAAAAAGTATATCGTAATCGTAATCTTTTTAAATTCACCTCGCATTTGCATTTCTTTATAAGTGTGCTAATTTAAATACGTTAACAAGTAATTGCTTCTTAATTAACAATCGTCACGTTGTCAAAATCTCAATTGTGTTTTTCCCAAGAATACATATTATAATTAAAATAACATCTAAAAATAAGGCTACTATAGACAATAGTCATGATACACACAAGTGCCAAAAAGTAAACTAATGTGAAATATTGTGTAATTAATTACTACGCACTATTATAAAGGCATGCATTTAATACATATTTCTATGGCACTAATAAATCCTTTGTTATTTACGTGGTGAACTGGGTCCACATCAATTAATTAACTATTACTTTTACTACTCATTCCATACTTAGAAAATATTTATATGGATAAAACAAATCTCACCTACTATAATCCCACTGCAAATTGACTTTAGCATTTATATTACTTATAGCATCAAAATCAAGAGCTTAATAAAAGTATTATTAGGCCACAAAAATTCCCAGATATTAGTTGATTACTTTTGTTGACTACTTATTATATCTAATCACATCAAATAAATAATTATAGCTGGAGGGAATTGCCCAGCATTGCCCAGCAGTGGGATAAAATAGGTGTATAAAAGGGTTAATCAACATTATGGCACTTGTCCCACCGCCGACGACGAACAAGAAGTGAGTAGATAGTAACCAGATACGAGTTAACAAGAAGAGTGTATGGTTCCGATAGTTTTGGCGCTGGACTTCAAGCGAGTGTGCGAGAACGACAGGCGATTCGCATGGTAGACAAAAATGACAACTGGTTGGCGAGTCTGCCAAGCGAGTATCGCTTTGAAAATATTATATTTGTCAGTTTTTGTCACTGCGATAAACAGAGTGTCTAGAACTGGAGAGAGTATTCACCAATATTGAACATTCAGCGATCGAATATCAATAAATGTAACTTTTTTATTAACACTTGAGTAAGAAAATAGTCTCTAGTTGCCGCTTCCTTGTCAGCGGTGGAACAAGTGCCTTCATCTAACAAACATTCGACTAGCGTGGACCAAGTCACCACAACGTATACTCACGGAGCCAGCACCAAGGAACAGATAAATATTCTCACTGAGCTTCCGCTTCGTCACCCGAACGGCGGCCATTAGCCCGGCGACCGCCACGCTGGCAGTGCCTTGGATGTCGTCGTTGAATGTGCAGTACTTGTTGCGATACTTCTTGAGAAGGCGGCCAGCGTTCGCTAGGGCGAAGTCTTCGAACTGTAGAATGGGTTAATAGATTTTATTTTATTTTATTGAGAAAACCAACAGCGTATTCATACAATTTTAACATGTAATACATTAAGCCCAGGCGTTTAAGACCATCGATTTTTCGTCGGCCGATAGTTTAGTCGGGCAGTTGATCAGTATGGGCATGTATGGAAGGGCGCACATTACACCGATTCGATTTGGCCGATTCTTCATACAATTTAAAATCGGGCACAACTATCGGCCAACTAAAAATCGGTGGTCTGCGCCTAGTCTAATTTAACACGTAACAAGACCAATAACAGGTTTCCCTTAAATTATCACTAGTACCTACAAAGTTGGAATGCTATCTATACCTATCCACATAACACTACCTAAACAATACACAACAAAACAAGGATCATCCCGATAGCCAACTCAATGTTTGTTGAGATACAGAAAAGATTTGTAATATGTTAAATTATCATCATCATCATTTCAGCCACAGGTTGCTGACATAGCCCGACGGATTAGCAAGCTGAAGTGGCAATGGGCAGGGCACATAGTACGCAGAACTGATGGCCAATGGGGCAAAACGCAGCGTGGAACGTCCATCCACAAGGTTGACCAACGATATCATAAAGGTAGCAGGAAGGCGCTGGACGCAGGCCGCTACCAATCGATGAACACGGAAATCATTGCCAATGATTCATTGGGGAGGCCTATGTTCTGAGTGAGGCTGAAATGATGATTGTCAAATGGATCTTGATTCTTGGCAATGTGAACAAAGCGTTAATAGAACAACTAACGCGTTGTTTTCAAATTTCAGAACTGGCTACTGAGATTTTCAACTTCTGATGAATGAACGAATATGGTCTTCTGGAATGACCTTGCATGCCTTTTCCTATCGGTTGTTCATAACCGTGTAAATATTTTATCTTAAAATAATGCATTAAATTGTTAAGCAGTATGTTCCTGTTCACAATCGTTCGACAGTTTATCGCGTCGCGTCAGAAGTCGCGAGTTAGATTGTAATCTAACGGTTTTTACAATCTTACGGTGACATATACATTGGTTACCTATTGTGTTTAAATAGATAAAATGATGACGTCATTTGAATGTATTAAATTTCATGTCTAACGTTTCGCCTAGCTTTATTTAGAGGTAAAAATATAATTAATGAGATGCGGCCTCTACTTTTTTTGGCTTGCTTTTTCCTGTTTTTAACAGAAAAACGTTATTCTATTTTTGTGAGCACTTTCAGCAGTCATATTATGATTATGTAACAGAGGCCCATCATCATCATTTCAGCCATTGGACGTCCACTGCTGAACATAGGCCTCCCCCAATGACTTCCTGGCCTGCGTCCAGCGCCTTCCTGCTGCCTTTACCTTTAGTAATAGAGGCTGGTAGATAAAACAATTTATCACCGTTAACAACAACAGATAAGAGAAGGCAGTTGGTTACTTCCTTTATATCCGGATGTAACTAGTTTTTCGCACACATCCGAAATGTTTTCATAAGCAACAAATAGAGCCATAAATAAAGAATCACGTTTCGGAGTAAACCCACTAGCAACTTGATAGCAATTAATAGCGTTTCCACCACTGACGGCTTGGTAGTAAAATGGTATATTGCACAATTTGTATGACTATGTATAGGATAGATTATTTTTATGAGAGAATATTAGCCAAAACAGAACATGTGTGAACAGCTGGACTAATGACCCATATAGATCTGTAATGTAATACCTATAGAGAATTCTAATTAGATTACTTTGCATAGCAACACCATTACGTTGATTTTAATGATCAGAGATGTGTATTTATTAGTATACGATTTTACATGAATACGCGATTTGGGCACATCACGCGGCAAAGGTACCGAAATCACGTGATAAACGTGTCTGGGCGATTGCACAACAATCAGTCACACGTCAAACGCATTTCCAGTGAATAGATTATCAGTTATTCTATTGATAACTGATCAGCTGATCACAATTTGCCGATTACAAACTTTTCCATTTTTTTTTTTAATAAGATTATTAGTAATTTGTTATTATTATTTAAAACAAAAGTGCGTAGATAGTGGGACCATTCCCACCACTGCAACTCCTGTGTAGCCAAGATTGCTGGACGGCCAATAAAAACCCAACTAATGATGGTCAAGTTTTTCCCGCTTGATGCATATATCATAAAATAAAATTAAAAGTGAAAGGTTCCTCGCAACATAAGGTTTTAATGACTATGTAAAGCAGTATTCACTCATCAATGACTATCGTATTAAAATAATTAACAGCTGAAACGGCACATCAAACAACTAATTTATTTGTTAATCTTTCTATTTTGAAACAGTATTAGTTTCAGTGATTATGTGGGCAATTAAAAGCCAATTGTCCTTGACAGTTTTATCAATATCACTATCTGAATTTATTAGCAATCGGATTGAAAATAAACAACGCACTATAATCGACGTAAAAGATAAGATAGTGGACTTATCGAATGCGTCGAATGCTTGCACGTAACACTGCGGATTTCGTCTAGAAATGGGAAAACTGGTTTTGACTGGTTTATCTAAGTCTAGAAACCAAAACAGGCTTATAAGGATCATTTTTGCTAGAAATTTCTTTTAAATGCCAAAAAGATATCTTTATTCCTGAATAGTAAAGAGATGTACAGTTGCTCTAAAGGCTGATTTAAATGAAAATTTAGTTACCTACTTAACTACTTAATACGTGTAAATCAGCCTTAACTTTCTTGCTACCTCAAGGCAGATAACGTCAGCATGTTATTTAGGTCGAAGTTTCCTATGAAACTCAAGCTAGCAGTTTCGCTAAATCTATGACAAAATATACAAACTTACTTGCAACAGTGTGTTCTGTCCATATCTCTGCACGCACGCCTCCATGAACTCATCAATGAACTCGTCGTACTCCTTGCCTCGCGCTCTCTTTTGTCTCAATCCGATATACAGCGGATCTTCCAGAAGATCCTGAAAAGACACCTTGCGTTAGCGACGTAAGAACCGTTTTCGAACGACACGTTTTAGTGACATTGTTATGTCATACCATTCATAATACGCGGGCTATAGGTGACAGGATAGGCTAAATTATACGCGGCGCGGCACAAATTGATCCGCGAATAAAGGTGAATGCATAATACGGAAATGTAATGTATGTGAGCACGCGAACACGTTATGTGCTATGCACTCAATGACATTAGTCGCGTAAGTCAGAAAATAGCACTGGGACTGTATCAGATAGATGTTTTAGTTCAAAATTGAATCTTATTCATACCGCATTTTCTCTAATCCTGGTTCTAGGGACATATTATTATAAATATAGCAGCATACCATGCTAAATGATTAAATTAATGACTTTTTGGTAGACTTTCCAGAAACCTTGACATTTACGTGTCTTCACGCAGCGCGACAAATTCTCATAGCAACTTACTTCTATGATACAATACAATATTAAATAACTCCACTACTCGTATAGCCTTCACAGTGATTTTATTGACTTTAGACTTACGTGCTAATTTCTCAAACTACATACCACAATTTTATCGTTACATAACGATATGAGATTAAGGAAATGTCAGCTATTTCCAACGCTATTTCTAAAAATAGTTTAACTGTCGAATTCACGTACGACTATTTCATTTGTGTTTCTTGCACAAACTAGTTTCCTTCTCATGTAACTTTTGTGATACGAGATAAAGTAAGCCCTTGTCACACGCTTTGTCCAAAATACTGGACTCTACCAAAATATACGGATACGGATCGCGCACTCGACATTCCAGTCAGCCTGTGACCACGGCCGGTGCAACTCGGTAGAAACGTCAGGCAAATACAGGTAATATTTCAATGTTACCTATCCGCGTATCGCGTTAAAACCTGTTTAAATTAATTCAATTATGCAACGCGAAAGTTTAAAATTAATTACTACCAAATTAAATTATGGATGTTTAAAGGCGCGACCTACATACAGCTTTCTTATCCCTTCAGGACAACATAACTGGTGATGAGAAGCGCAAAAATCTCCATAACTTTTGGTTACCAAGAGACATATTCATCTACCATTTCAATAATTTTGTTCTCAAGCATTTGTGTACTGACCTGATTATCAGTACCAACGTCCAAGGTGATGGGCAGACACTGGTGAGGCTTGATGCCAGCGAGCGCGGTGTACAAAGACAGCTTCCCTACAGGGATTCCCATGCCATACGCGCCAAGGTCGCCCAACCCCAGGATACACTCGCCATCAGTGAATATGAACGTCAGGCTGTAGTGTATCTTTTAATCTAAAGTCCGGTCGCCGAGTAAATAGAATTCCGTCCAATGACCCCAAGCTACCCATCCTTACCACTCGCACGTAATTATATTGCTGTCGCGTCTGTGCGACGGGCGGCCGCAGTGAGTGTGCGAGCGCGACAGCAATACAATTACACGTGGGCGATAAGGATGGGTAGCTTGGGGTCATTGGACGAAATTCTATCTGCTCGGCGACCGGACTTTAGCAAGTATGTACTGACCTGATTATCGGTACCAACGTCCAAGGTGATGGGCAGACACTGGTGGGGCTTGATGCCAGCGAGTGCGGTGTACAAAGACAGCTTCCCCACGGGGATTCCCATTCCGTACGCGCCAAGGTCGCCCAACCCGAGGATACGCTCGCCATCAGTGAATACGATCGCCCGGACGTCGGGTTCTGGCCTAAAATAAAATTACATTATACACCCACACTGTAATGCACAGGTTTCACCAGAGGAGAGATGTGTTTAAATAGCCAATCAGTAGCCTTATTCACGTAACAAAACTTCAACGACAACAAATCACTGAGTTGCGATCCTATCGAGTAATCTTTCTATCAAAATGACCCTTGTGAATACGGATTTACAACTGTTTTTCAATAGGACGACTTCTAAACGTCAACGAGATTTTGACTGTGTCAAAATACGTGAATTAGGTTACAGATTTTCGAACCAAAACTGAGCAGAGAAGTGATGTGGAAATAACGAAATCTGATTAGTTAATCAAACACGTCTTCCCTCCGCATTCATGGATACCAAGCCTTATGGTGAAAAGATATTAAGATCGTGCTTTGTGGCGTTCTTTGGGAGAGACTTACATCTACTCTAGCATTGGACTAGGCTGAAATGATGACAAACCAATAGCTTTTGGTGTTACAGTAAGGCCCTTTTCACACGTCCCGGTTGCCGGCTAACCGGCGCCGGGTACCCGATGGTGAAGTGTATGGGCATGCCGGATTAATTACGCCGGAACATGTGAAAGCTACGTACCATGCCCATACACTTCACCACCGGATACACGGCGCCGGTTAGCCGGCAACCGGGACGTGTGAAAAGGGCCTAAGTCTTTAACAATAGCATTCAAAATTACTTCAGTGGTTTAGGCGTGCAAAGGTAACTTACAGGACTTTAAAAAGACACTGGTCGCTTTTATTATATAAGTAAAAATTGATTTAATAAAAATACCCATTATTCAGTCAATTAAAATGTAAAATGTTGTCGAAAACGGACTTCCTATTGAAGAAACACAAAACAATGCCACTCTTCAGAATTTTAACTAACAGACTAATTAGCCTTTTAAAATTATTCAGCATAATGAACAATATTAAGTAATTCTTTAACGTGTTGATGATCCCAACATCGTTTTTAACTTTGAAGGTCATGAAAGGCTGTTGGCCGCTTGTCCAGAATAAAAATACGGTTTATTCTAAATCTAGGGAGTTTTGAAGTAAGAAATAGGTACATAGTTTTCTCGGTAGTCTCGAAAAATTCGAAATGCCTGTAAGGTTATGTTGCCCTGGTACTTTTGGCGTGAAGTTATGACAAAATTTATTTTTGTAATTTTTTATATATATTTTTAGTAAGAGTTACGTACCAGTTTTTAAGAATGTTGAATATATGCCCCTTATCATTGATGGTGATGAAGAGACCTCTAGGTCTTCTGTAGATGAGACCGAACCTTTGGCAGGCCAGTCCCACAGTGGGTGTGTATACTATAGGCAGGTACTTCTCAATGTTCTCAGCCAGGAGTCTGAAGAATAGTTTCTCATTTCTGTCCTGCAATAATTTAATAAGAATAAATAATATATTAATTCTAGTAGAGATCGCGGGAAGCACCAAGATGTAGGCAGGGCAGGACCTTGGACCAGAAATTCTTGGAGGGTTTTGTCCATTAATAGATCTTTGGTTAAAACAAATTAATTCAGAACACATCCTTTATAGAATGGTCTGTCTCTAACTACTAAAATCACTACTATAGATGTCTTATTTATTTTTCTTTGTCACAGTCACAGATATGGAGTCACAGTAGTATCAAGGAAAAAGATTTGATGGGTAATTAAGAATTAGTACAACAATTTCAAGACTATTTCCTTGTAATGAAGGAAGGAGTTTATTTCCTTGATCCAAGGATAGGGGAAAATATTGATATATGATTGTCTATGTATGTTTCCATAGCTTTTAAGTGACTACATAATGACGTGAACACGGACTCCTAATTTAGGTAGGTTAATTTTGTTTAATTGAAGTTTAAACGAGAGTAAATTGTTGTATGGAAACAAATATCATAATTGACTGTAAAGTTTGTGTAGCCGCGCAACTGCCCAACACGAAACAAAATTGGTTTTATTTGATTAGTTTTTTTTAACTATAAGCAATGTCGTCCTTTGTGTTTCTTTCTCGTATTGTATAATTTGAACATAAACATAATATCAACATGTTTTAATCATACGCACGCGCACCCTTTTTTGGTCCTTTGAGCCGGAAAAAACATTATGGCCGATAAAATTGGTCTGAACTATAAAATCTCAATGCAACCTTGAAAATTAATTTAGCATCTGATTCGACTGTGACCAATTACTTTATCCATTCCTTCATTGCAACCATTTTATAAATAGACCACTGGTTAGCATTGAAGTTAAAGTTATAATTAAGTATGGAGCAAAAAATATTATATTTTTAACCATTACAAAGCCCCTTCATCTAGTCGTCCCCATACCATAAGCCCAATAGTGAATCAAGACTAAAAAATAGATGGAAACATGTTATTAGTCTAAATATTGATGTCTTGAGATTGGATCAAGCTTTGAAATTCATTTTATAACGTCGTCGTTTTTGTCTGAAGTTTACTCTCCTGTGAGATAGTATCATTTATAACTGCATCCTCTTAAAATAAACTCTCAGTTATAGATTTTTTAATACTATTAGACTAGCCAGAGAGTCTGCCTTAGGGTAGAGCAAGATGATGGTTCGCTATACGTGCCAGACGTTAAAGAGTGCCAAAATGGTGCACTCTATCAAAAAAATAATGTTACATTATAATAATAGATAGTAACTTCAATCAATAGCTTGAGCCAAATGGGCGCTGGAAGACAATTTTAATCTACCCTGAGTACGGTAAATTCGGACTTAACGAATCTACGTAGGGTAGATAACAGCTCGTAGACGTAAAAAAATCTATTTAACCCGCCGANGTACTAAAAAACCAAATTTACTAAAATCTTAGTGTACTTTCTTTATGGGAGTATCTTGTTTATCTTAAATAATAGTTATTGTTCCCTACTTTTATCTCTGTGAATATGGCAAGAATGCAAAGTAACACGGTGTATAGATATAATCTATATAAATAAAAATGACTTGATGTTCGTTAGTCTGATTAAAACTCGATAACGGCTGGGCCCATTGAGCTGATTTTGGTTTTAAAATGTTTGTCGTAGTCCAGGGTAGGTCTAAACGGTGAGCAAATACGCGCGCGATATTGTTTTTCTGAGACAAAATTCCATGCGGGCGAAGCCGCGGGCGGAAAGCTAGTTATAAATATAGCAGAATACCATGCTAAATTATTAAATTAATGAGTTTTTGCAATACTTTCCAGAAACCTTGACATTTACGTGTATTCACGCAGCGCGACAAATTTTCATAGCAACTTATTTCTATGGAACAATATTAAATCACACAACTATAGCCTTGACAGTGCTATTATTGACTTTTGACTGACGTGCTAATTTCTCAAACTACATACCACAATTTTATCGTTACATAATGATATGAGATTTAAGGAAAATGACAGCTATTTCCAACGCTATTTCTAAAAATAGTTTAACTGTCGAATTCACGCACGACTATTTCATTTGTGTTTCTTGCACAAACTAATTTCCTTCTTATTTAACTTCTGTGATACGAGATAAAGTAAGCCCTTGTCACACACTTTGTCCAAAATACTGGACACTACCAATTTAAAGTTAGTAAGTATGTAGTGCTTTTTTAAGGCGCGACCTAAATACAGCTTTCTTATCACTTCAGAACAACATATCTGGCGATGGGAAGTGGCGCAATCATCATCATCATTTCAGCCACAGGACGTCCACTGCTGAACATAGGCATCCCCCAATGACTTCCACATCACACGGTTGGTAGCGGCCTGCATCCAGCGCCTTCCCGCTACCTTTATCAGGTCGTCGTTCCACCTTGTGGGTGGACGTCCCACGCTGCGTTTTCCGGTACGTGGCGCAAGAAACTCCATAACTCTTGATCGAGACATACTGATCTACAGTTCCAATCATTTTCCATTTCTAAGAAGTATATTCTTTGGGAACAAAATAATACTAGGTATCTAGCAAGTATGTACTGACCTGATTATCGGTACCAACGTCCAAGCGGTGTACAAAGACAGCTTCCCCACAGGGATTCCCATGCCGTACGCGCCAAGGTCGCCCAACCCGAGGATACACTCGCCATCAGTGAATATGAACGTCAGGCTGTAGTGTATCTTTTAATCTGAAGTCCGGTCGCCGAGTAAATAGAATTCCGTCCAATGACCCCAAGCTACCCATCCTTACCACTCGCACGTAATTATATTGCTGTCGCGTCTGTGCGACGGGCGGCCGCAGTGAGTGTGCGAGCGCGACAGCAATACAATTACACGTGGGCGATAAGGATGGGTAGCTTGGGGTCATTGGACGAAATTCTATCTGCTCGGCGACCGGACTTTAGCAAGTATGTACTGACCTGATTATCGGTACCAACGTCCAAGGTGATGGGCAGACACTGGTGGGGCTTGATGCCAGCGAGTGCGGTGTACAAAGACAGCTTCCCTACAGGGATTCCCATGCCGTACGCGCCAAGGTCGCCCAACCCAAGGATACGCTCGCCATCAGTGAATACGATCGCCCGGACGTCGGGTTCTGGCCTAAAATAAAATTACATTATACACCACACTGTAAAGCCCAGTTTGCACCAGAGGAGAGATGTGTTTAAATAACCAATCAGTAAAGGCTACTGATTCTCGTAACAAAACTTCAACGACAACAAATCGCTGAGTTGCGATCCTATCGAGTAATTGTTCTATCAAAATGACCCTTGTGAATACGGATTTACAACTGTTTTTCAATAGGACGACTTCTAAACGTCAACGAGATTTTGACTGTGTCAAAATACGTGAATTAGGCTACAGATTTTCGAACCAAAGCAAAAAAAAAACCTCACCTGAGCGGTGAGGTGATGTGAAAATAACGAAATCTGATTAGTTATTCAAACACGTCTTCCCTCCGCATTCATGGATACCAGGCCTAGTGAAAAGATATTAAGATCGTGCTTTGTGGCGTTCTTTGGGAGAGACTTACATCTACTCTAGCATTGGACTAGGCTGATATGATTTAAACCAATAGCGTTATGCCCACGTCTTCGCTCGCGTGTTGTTCGATCTAACACAGAAAGTCTTCACCAAAATTCTTTAAAATTGGTTCGCTGCACGCCGGCTGATCACGTGTGATCGCGTTGGTTGGCCGAACCTTTAAATGCTCGCCTGTTGTGCCACTGTATTTTATGTGTGCAATAAAGATTTTAAATAAATAAATGCATTGATCGCCATCGCTACACGCCGGCTGATCGCGTTGGTTTGGCCTAATCTTAACCGTGATTCACTTGCATATAGGACTTTGAAAGATACTGGTGGCGTTTATGATTTTATTGTGGATTTAAAAATACCCAGTCAATTGAAATGTTTAACATTGTTGTCAAAAACAGACTCACTAATTAAGAAACACAAAACAATATCACTCTTCAGAATTTTAACTAACAGACTAATTAGCCTTTTAAAAATTATTCAGCATAATGAACAATATTAAGTAATTCTTTAACATGTTGATGATCCCAATATCGTTTTTAACTTTGAAGGTTATGAAAGGCTGTTGGCCGCTTGTCCAGAAAAAAACGTTTATTCTAAATCTAGTTTTGAAGTAAGAAATAGGAAAATAGTTTTCTCGGTAGTCCCGAAAAAATCGAAATGCCTGTAAAATTATGTTGCCCTAGTACTTTTGCAGTGTTTTTATTTATTTTAGCAAGAAGTTACTTACCAGTTTTTGAGAATGTTGAATATATGCCCCTTATCATTGATGGTGATGAAGAGACCTCTAGGTCTTCTGTAGATGAGACCGAACCTTTGGCAGGCCAGTCCCACAGTGGGTGTGTATACTATAGGCAGATATTTTTCAATGTTCTCAGCCAGGAGTCTGAAGAATAGTTTCTCATTTCTGTCCTGCAATAATTTAATAAGAATAAATAATATATTAATTCTAGTAGAGATCGCGGGAAGCACCAAGATGTAGGCAGGGCAGGACCTTGGACCAGAAATTCTTGGAGGGTTTTGTCCATTAATAGATCTTTGGTTAAAACAAATGAATTCAGAAACCGTCCTTTATAGAATGGTTTGTCTTTAACTACTAAAATCACTATAGATGTCTTATTTATTTTTCTTGGTCGCAGTCACAGATATGGAGTCACAGTAGTATCAAGGAAAAAGATTTGATGGGTAATTAAGAATCAAGAAGTTGTCAAGACTATTTCCTTGTAATTAAGGAAGGAGTCTATTTCCTTGATCCAAGGATAGGGGAAAATCTACCTTCTTTTAGCTATGTGTCTATGTTTGTTTCTATAGCTTTTATGTGACTACATAATGACGTAAACACGGACTCCTAATTTAGGTAGGTTAATTTAGTTTAATTGAAGTTTAAACGAGAGTAAATAATTGTATGGAAACAAGTATCTGTCTCACCAAGTCGAGCAAAAAAGCGGCACGGCCGTACCATCCTTTTCTCGAAGCAATTCAGGCCATTTTCGACTGCCTGTAACTTCGTTGTGGATAAAACTAGAAGGCTGAATTTTCATTAGCTATGCAGGCATTGTAAAGACACGGTATATTTAAAATTTCATTCAATTTGAACCAGTAGTTTAAGAATTATAACGGGTCAAAGTTACTTAATTTTGTCACTCACTGACTCACTGACTCACCGATCATCAAAACTCTAAGGCACTTCTAGCAGACCTAGAAGCTTCAAATTTGGAATATAAGTAGTGTTTGGTGTATGAATCAAGGAAAAACTAAAATATTTGGGGGCACGGTAGTGCAACCGCCAAGTCGAGTAAAATTTTTCAATTTCGGTCCAGTTTTCTAGATACATAACTGCTGTCTACAAAATACAAAAAGAAATGAGATCCCATCAAAAACAATACTTGTCAAAAAAACCAAGTCTCGCAACTCAGTTGTTCTACGGTAAAAAGTTGTGAGATCCATGTAATACCAAGTCCAGGCCAGGAAATCTTTAACGTTTTACATAAATATATTGACTTGGCCATCGCATGAAAACACGTGTAAATTAAATTATTTAGTGCGATGGCCAAGTCAATAATTTATGTAAAACGTTAAAGATTTCCTGGCCTGGACTTGGTATTACATGGATCTCACAACTTTTTACCGTAGAACAACTGAGTTGCGAGACTTGGTTTTTTTGACAAGTATTGTTTTTGATGGGATCATAATTGACTGTAAAATTTGTGAGGCCGCGCTGCCCAACAAAAAACGAAACTATTTTTTTAACCTTAACCAATTTCGTCCCTTTAATTGATTTACGTTTCTTTCACGTCTTATATTTTTGAACGTAAAGATACATATCAATTAAGTATAGGTACGCACACACATCCATTTTTTGGTCCTTCGAGCCGGAAAAAACATTATGGCCGATAAAATTGGTCTGAACTATAAAATCTCAATGCAACCTTGAAAATTAATTTAGTATCTGATTCGACTGTGACCAATTACTTTATCCATTCCTTCCTACCATCGTTTTATAAATAGACCGCTAGTTAGCATTGACGTTAAAGTTTTAATCAAGTATGCGGCAAAAAATATTCTATTTTTAGCTATTACAAAGCCCCATCATCTAGTTTCCATAGTATAAGCCCTATAATAAATCAAGACTCAAAAATAGATGCAATCATGTTATTATAGTCTAAAGATGTCTTGAGATTGGATCAAGCTTCAAAATTCGTTTTAGAATGCCATCCTTTTATTCTAAGGCTTACTCACTCATGTGAGATAGAATTATTTATAACTGCATCTTTTATTGAAACTCAGTTAGAGATTTTTTTAAATACTAGACTAGCTAGAGTGTGTCTATCTTAGGGTAGAGCGAGATTATAGGTCGACCAGACCAGACGACAAGGGGTGCCAAAATGCTGCACTCTATCAAAAAAAAAGTAACGTTACATCTTAATGTAGATGGTAGCCCAAATGGCGTCCCAAAGAGCGCTGGAAGACAATTTTGATCCACCCTAAATACGTTAAGTCCTATAACAGCTTGTAGACGTAAAAATATCTATTTAAGCAACAATTTAACTAGCCACTTCCATACTGTCTACCTACCTGTCTATGATAACAATACACATACGAGGGCTGCACTAAAAGTATCGGGAATGGAATATTTCCACTGTTCCTGTCATATTAAAATCTATTTAATTGCAAACTCCAGGGTTTTTAAAATCGTATACCATTAATTTATTTAAAAAAAGATTCTCGGTCGTATCACAAGGTCTTGTCAAACTTGTTTAGTCGTTGAGAAAATGGATTGACTCGAGAAAATTCAAGAGCGATGATTTATTATGACTTTTGAAGTGGTTTAACACAAAAACAGTGTGTTGACCGGATGATTTCTGCATTTGGTAATGAAGCCCCATCCAAAACCACAATTTATCGCTGGTTTCCTGAATTTCAACGTGGACGTGTCAAGTTCAGTGATGATCCCCGTCAAGGTCGTCCAAAAACTGCAGTCAACTAAGAAAACGTTGATGCTGTGCGTAAGCTGATTGAAGAAGATCGACATGTGATATACCGCGAAATTCAGGCAACTTTAGACATTGGCATGAGTCAAATACAAATAATCTTGCATGAACAATTAGGTGTAAAAAAGTTGTTTTCCCGATGGATACCGCATTCGCTCTGTGAAGAGCAAAAAGCGGCNCTTCCATGTTTTCCCAACAAACAACTACCATTGCCTTCGCCATTATTCTCTACCAATCCTTCATGCTGCCTCGTCATATATCTCCTACTCCTGTGTCACTTTCAAAATTTCTTTTGTTGACATCATCAATATTTTGGTCACTACCAGACTTGTCGGAAGAACTGACTTCAGTTTGTTTGAAAAGACCTGATAATCTATTTGATTATCTTCGTAAGACATTCTAGATCTTTAGCCTGAAGAAAAACCAAAAAAATCGATAAAATAATAAAAATAAAATAAAATGTGTTTGATCAAATTCGTTACAAGTAGCGTAAGGCGGGTGTCACGCACCCGCGGACAGCTTTAACCTCGTCCTCAGCATACCCCGGGCGGCGGTCGCCTGAAACAGTGGCAAGGGACGCTTCCGTATGTCCCTCCGCGCAGCTACTCAAGCGCACGAAGCATAACAACAATTTGTTATTAAAATATTAATCGATTTTTCAAGGTCTGGGTGTACCACACCCAACCTTACGCTCGCCGGGTTAAGCAACAATTTAACTAGCCACTTCCATACTGTCTACCTACCTGTCTATGATAACAATACACATAACACTCAAATTGCTATCTTCTACGCAATAGTTCGGCGGATAAGCCATCTTCAATATTTTGATCACTTATCTTTTTATCAATCGCAGAAATGACGTTGATTATGGTCGCTTAAACAGTACAATAAATGATTGTATCTTTTAGTGTGGAGTGCAAATAATATTTTTATTGATAAATGAATGTGTTATTTAACTTAAAACAGGGTGAATAAAAGTATGTGGCTAGAAAGTCGCAATAATTATCAAGGTTTTTCGTCACAGTTTCAAATCATACCATTGTAAGATAAACCTATGCATCAAGTGCAGTTATATTAAGTTTTATTCACAAATCGTCATATCTTACTTAGGGCCACTATATATACACAATTTATTTACTAGAGAGAGAGAGAGTTTATTTACTTGACATAAGTTTCATAATTATATTCCTCTTATTTATCGTTTGGTAGATATTACAGCTATCAATTTTGGACGTAAAAGGCCATGCACCGCAGGCACAAGCGATGCAATGCAATGTGGTCTTCATACTAAAAGTACTATGATTACGTACATAACGATGTGGTCTGGTCATATGTCTTAAAAGGATTATGTCTAAAGAATAACATCAAATGTTCACAAGACTGGTACCTTATTCACGTCTAGTCACCTGTAACTCGACGAGGTAGAGGTACTTGTTCAGGTTGTCCTCATACCGATCCACCGATATCCTGCAGATGTCCAGTTGCTCCTCTTGGCTTTTGAATTTCGCCGCCAAGAGACCGTGGATGCCAAGGGCTTGGCGCTCTTCTAAAGTGAAGGCGAGACCCTAAAGAAAGAAAGAAAGAAAGAATAATTTATTTGGCACATAAAAAAAGAAACAATAAATTAGCACAATAAAAAGTAACATAAACTAAACTAAACTAAAAGAAATCATCTCCAAAAAGTACCTATACTTACTAGAATAGTAAGCTAAAATATCATTAATCATATCGTCAACTTTACAATATTTCCTCAATTTTACATTTAGTATCAGAATAATGACGGTTTTAGTTACAGAAAAAACCAACACGTTAACCAAATTCGTAATTCCCAAAAACAGGGTAAAGCAGTTATTATCCTCCAATTGCTGATGTAATGACGAAACTTTTACCTCATCTAGTAAGGGTAAATTACACATATTAGGTAAAAAGTAACTTATAACGAAAATAATAAATTGCTATATATGTTAAAACTAGACCACAATTTTAGAATTATCAGTTGTGCGGTCGCCTGGTCAGATAGTTTATGTAATTGTAACTTCCGCAAGAGCCCCATGTTAGGGTGATATTTTTATACGTGTCTCATATACAGCGAAAATTTGGGCGTAAAATAATACATCTCTCGTTTAGTATCCTACGGAAGTTTATCAATTTCCGAGGAAATGTATAAAGCGGTTCTTGTTATTTTCCGGTGACATACATACTAGAAAACTCTTGTTAATGTGACTGTAGGACAACTTATTGATCATGTAACTAAAGTAATATCAGGCCCTTAATTCTCTTTCTACAACAACATTACAAGCACTGACCTACTCCATGGCGTAGTCACAGTGACTGACCTTATTTTAACCTAGCGAGGGTCTCAGATGATCGATATCTAACTCGGGCAGATTGTTGACTGCGACCTCGTGGTACAGAAACTTCTTACTACAAAACTGCTCATTACAAAATACTTGAAGTAATGGACCTATTCAGTGGAATACACGCTTTTCTTTCACGTGGAACTAAGTCTGCCTTTGACCTCAATCTCACCTGAGGGTCGGAGGTTAAGATGGAACACTCGACTCACCTAGTTGATAACTTACGCCCGTATTCACAAACATTACTATGAGGTCTTACAGTGCGCACACGCACAGGATGACATATCAACCAATCACAGAGCTCTATTGAACGCTGTGCGTTCGATTTGCTGCTTCACTTAAGCAAGCATCGTTTGTGAATACGGGCGTTAGTAAATAGATAAATTACTTTTTCACAGGATGGTTAGTGTATTCTGACCTGATTTAACCGAGGGTCTAGTCGGCTCGTGTTCTGAAATGACCGAGTTTCTTGCGCTTCTTCTTCTTATATCAGCACTGGCCCATTTATTGTTTCAAAGCAGTGATAGGATAAATAATACTGGGACGTGTAAAAGCGCTTTTTAAAAGCCTATTTGCAAAAAATAAATAAGTTTTATGAGATTTAAATGACGCTGAAAACTGAAATTGTTCAGTCGCTTCAGTTTGAGCGTACATTCAAAACTCATTCTTGACTATGTTTCTGTATACGTGGCTATGAGATCTAAGAGCACCCGTACACACAGTGGATTATTAGTATACTTATGTACCGTGTAATCATCATCATCATCATTTCTGCTGAACATGGCCTATGTTCAGCAGAAATGATTTCCACAATGGCCGGTTGGTGGCGGCCTATAATACTGACCTTATTTAATCGTGGGTCCCTCAGGTGATCGATACCTCGCACTACGTTGGGGCAGATTATGTTGCCGGTGACCTCGTGGTACTCCCGGCATGGCACCGCCGAAGACTCGAACCCGGGACATTTCGCTAGCGCCAACGCTACCGCCCGGTTCGGAACTATCGCGTTGGAACAACATCTGTAACAAATTGACTAGTTAAAGTTCAATTTCATAACAATTGAGCTAGCAACAGTTCTTATAACTGTTGCTGAACTGTGAAAGTAAATTTCGCAATGTTGTTGAAGGCTTGTTGCTATTTTCATTGGATTTTAATACTTTTAGTCCTATCAAGGAATCCCCACTCGAAAGATATGTAATAAAAAAAATATTTACATTAATAAACAACGTACCAATAAATATTAACTATTTTAGAGTTGTTCAACAATTTCATTATTTATGCACTTAAATTAGTTAAGGTGTTCGCTCTACATTGGGATATAGGGCTTACTCGGTGTTACTACGAGTGTATTAGCCATTAATTACGTTACTTGGTATCACGAGCTCTGATAATGGATTAACGACCAACACTTGAGAAATTAATTAATGCACATTAATTAAAAATTGTAACTTCCAGGATTATGGCTAGAATTATAGTGCGATTACGGTTCTACGAAGTTGACTACCTATATTTTACGAAGACCAACTAAATGATGTTCCTAAATGTAGCAATTTCTAGCTTGCTGATACCTCAACAGTAGGTAGTATTTAGGTACATTCAAATTTTCATTTTTAGATATTCGCTGGCAAAACATGCGAATAATAAAATCATACCAGGTAAATGTGAGATAAAAACTATTTATTTAACTAGTGACAACGTTTAGGTTCCGTTTTGGGAAGTTTATGTATACTACCACAATTCCTACAGAGCATAAAAATACCACGCAATCTATTGTTAAAAGTTCTTGGGTTCCTTGTTGTAGGATTACACCTGTCGGGGTGCCATAAGGTCTACTATTTATCTAACGAAAGGAATGCGTGGTAAATTCAGTTAACCACATCTAAATCAATAGTCAACCCACTATTGTAACTTCTTATTTATTTTTAACCGGCAGACAATGTTGACTGAATTATGGCAGCATTAGTAGGTACTAAATGTTTGTCGCGAAACTCTGATACGACAAAAAAGCTCTACTCCACTTTGATCACCTGGATTGAATCACCCAGGTGATCATAGGCGACTCTTTGGTGTCCTTTAATCACCCATGAAAAACGCAGCCTAGGACGTCCACCCACAAGGTGGACCGACGACCTGATAAAGGTAGCAGGAAGGCGCTGGATACAGGCCGCTACCAACCGTGCGATGTGAAAGTCATTAGGGGAGGCCTATGTTCAGCAGTGGACGTCTTATGGCTGAAATTATGATGATGATGAATCACCCATGTATGAGATCACCTAGGTATCAAAGTGGACTACTTATCCATGGATGATCATGGAAAAAGCTCCAGCGTCGCCTATGATCAACTGGGTGATCTAATCCATGTGATCAAAGTGAAATAGACCCAAAAAAAGATGGTATGAAAGACCTCTTATGTCATCGCATCAAAATATCATCGACCCCAAACATGTAGAGCGACGTTTAAAATAAAATCACAATAGCATTAGTATGTTTATGGAGTAGGGAGTTTTTCTTAGTTGAAATTATTTCGGGGCCAAGTATGATAACGATGTTTCACGTGCCAAGAGCTAATTCTCACAATGCCAACGCGTAAACAAAACGCAGGCATAAGTCACATTACAAGAATATAATAGACGTGTCAATTGGACCACCTTATCGGAAGCGTGGGATGTCCACCCACAAGGTGGACCGACGACATCATAAAGGTAGCAGGAAGGCGCTGAACGCAGGCCGCTACCAACCGGGCAACATGGAAAGCATTGGGGGAGACCTCTATGTTCAGCAGTGGACGTCCTATGGCTGAGATGATGATGATGATGATCTGAAGACACCATGGCAACGACGGATTCTGGTGATTTATGATGATGCTGGTGATATTCCAAGAAAATAAAGCGCTACATAATGAAAATCCGTCTGTAGTTTTGCACAACTTTAAGAAAACTCAACTCGTATGATTCAGAGTGTAACTGGTGACGTATGTACTTAAACGGTTTTGTCGTAAACTGTTTGTGTACACATGTGCACAATTTACTAAGAATCACGAAACATGGAAAGTCTCAAGTAATATTAAGAAAATATCAAGAAAACGTACGAAATCTTTTGCACGCCAACAATATGTTGCATTTGACTGGTTTTGCCAAAAATACTGCTGAATTCTTTAAACTCACTAAATGTAGAGTCGCGACATGAGCCAGTAAATAGTCGTAACGTATGTAAAATATAAATATGTATGTACATTCAAGAACATCTTCTGAACATAAAACAGAATAATGTCATTGATGTTTTCTCTGTTAAACAATGTTTGCATTTTTTCAGTTCTTTGGCTGAAAAAATCTGGGGGCTGGGCCGTGACGTCTGCGTTACATAAGACTAACAAACAGATAATGTCATTTACATACTCTTATTTACAGAAGCCGTGTACATACTTTATTAGGCACGGTGATTTAGTCACGCGAAATGTAACAAAAGTAACAAATGATCACGTTTAGACAGAATAGTCTTTACGACTCTATGCTCTAATTCTTAGATTTTTCAAAAACATAAGTAGTAAGTACCTACATTTTACATCTTAGCATTCACAGCAATCAATCAATTTTTTATGTGAACGTTGACAAGACTACGGTGGACGTACTTGCTTAAATTGAATCATCTCGATGATTCAGGTAAGCTGACCTTCGTCAAGTATCGTGGAAGGAAACTAACGCAAATTATTACGGTAATCAATGAAGTTAGGATCACAAGATCGTACATTTACTATAGATGGAGCAATAACAATTTTATCATGAAGTTTACCGGTTGAAGCTGGTGTCACTTAGGTTTCAGCAAGAAGATTAGAGGCATTAAAATGTCCCTCATACGTAATATGTCATTGAATAGCAGAGAAAAGACTGAAGTGAATAGAGACAATAACCTGCCTACTGTAGGTAGGAAACTTTTGTAGAAAAAATAACTAGGCTAGTTATAAACTAGGTATCTGCTCTACCTGGCTTCTATAGCGCTAGTAAGAAAATAATTAGTCTATGAGTTGGTAAAATACCACTCGATTAAGAACTTATAGTTAAGCTGTCGCTCCTGCGGGTCTAGACAAAGTGCACTTTAAAATCGCAAACCACTCGAAAGAGATGGTCGAAAGACCTTTTTTGTATGGAGTTGACATTATGACGGATTCGATTTTCGATTCGATCAAAAAGTGCCACTTGTTTAGGGGGGCTGGTTTCAGTGTCTGCTATAAGGACATAAGATTTCGCCGATGTTTATGATAATTATTACAAATGGAAATTAGCCAATTTAAAAATGTATTTACCTATGCTATTTTGGAAACTAATTATTATTTATAACTGGGGAAACACTTTATTCAATTGGTACCTATTCATGGCTTTACACACCAACCCGTCAATCTGTCACGAACTAAAATATTTACAAAGCTGGTGGGACTTGTAGATAGCAGATAAGATAACCCACTGATAGCTAGTTGAAACGTAGATAGATATCAAGCCTACTGAACTTGAAAATCTAGTTATCTGATCGAATCGATTTGATCAGCAGTTTTATAATAGCGATTACGTAAATTGCAAACGTCGTTATAACGCTTCGATGAGTATTGACCGGGTGGCTTTACAAAGGAAATCGATACCCAGCAGATAATGTTCAATGTCAGAGTTTAAGTTACATTCAGGAACACTGCGTTTAACCACAAAATAGATAGATTGTCAATCTACATACAAAATGCGCTCGTGCAACGCACACAACGCTCATGGACACGATATCGCCAAAATCGCAAACCAGTCTAAACCAATGCCAGCGCGAATGCCGCCCGCTTGGGACGCGTCTGTCTATAGATATCATTATCATCATCTCAGCCATAGGACGGTAACTGCTGAACATAGGCCTTCCCCAATGCTTTTCATGTTGTCCGGTTGGTAGCGGCCTGCTTCCAGTGCCTTCCTGCTACCTTTATGATGTCGTCGGTCTACCCGTCTACTTAATATGCAAAATGAAATATACAGGTGATTCTTCTGTTACTAGGTACTATTTTGTGGTTTGACCGTCAGACTTCGGCATATTTAATAGAACGTTGTTAATTACAGTTTCCCCGAGTATGCGCTTTATGACGTTTTAGTTATGTCATTTGACTACTTTTAGCACTGGTCTGGTGTGCTCCGTAAAGATTTTGCTAGCGCAAGGTGCGGCGACTTTGTTAATGCTCTATTTTAGTCTTTATTAACTTTGATCTCAATATTGGCACTAATTCTTTTGTCATATCGTTCTTGAAGGACGCGAAAATATATTTCGTCATTGGGTATTTTATTAAACACCTTAAAAAATGCGATTCGTAGGTACTACATTGGCTCTCCAAAGCACTCCGAAAACAGGATCACGATTTTTTGTGCAGTAAAAAATGGTGTTATCGTGAACACCACTTTGAGCACCCGCCCAAATAGCACCTGCACGAATAGCACCTGGCCTATTACTGGTCCTCTAGTAGATCAAACGTTTTTACGAGTTTAACAGCGCGGAGAAAGGTGTAAATAATGTTATAAAAGAATTTAATGGCGATATTAAAAATTTATTCTAGAAATTGAATGACGAAATTGTAGGTAAGCTTCAATTTTGATGTTCATATTTTGGAATCGCAAACTAGAAAGACGCGTTTTCGTCTGTTGGCCTTGACATTTCCTTGACCTTCAAATGTATAAAATTCAGATGAAGATGAAACTTTCAAAAAATACAATATCAGATAATGTTACTTGGTGTGTTTTGTAAGAACTAACACTTACAAAATATCTTCCTATAATAATTCTATAATAAAACATCGAAAAATTCAGGTCTTTGTCCTTGACAATAACTTTGGATCAATATTAGATTGAATTCACATTCATAAACATGGAAAATTACAATTTGTAACAGAAGTTTCTGCAAAACATAACATAGTACCATGTAATGATGCCAAGTTCAAAAAGGACAGTCTAAAAATAGTTAATGCATAGATTGAAAGTTTTGCCATTTCTATTTCGCAGTTTTTCACACGTTGCTGATCACAAAATTAAATTCCAGTAGTTAATTTACTTACATTACATAAACATTTATAAGTTAACCAAATTCAATAAAAAGTGATTTATTAATTTGATCATAAAAAATATAATAAACACAAGAGCTTCACATTTATTTTTTATATATTACATTTAAAATTACATTTCGCAAATAAATTAATTATCTTTGGTCACAAGACAGTTGCAATATTGCATTGCATCATAGGATAATGCCACTGCATATGTAAGGAAGCAAATTAATGTATAGTGCTTGTTTTTAATCATAACCACTTAAAAAGAGATTGTACTGTCTCTAAAGTGAAGCAAGCTTTACTTTTTTCATTTACTCTCTTTTATAGTAATTTTCTTTCATAGTAATACCTAATTATAATTTTTTGCACATTAGTCAGGGAACCATTTTGTAAGGATTTAAACAACTTGGATTCAACAGAAAAAAATCAAAGTTGGTAGAAACCTACTGTTAAAATATACATTATGTATTTTCATATAAATTGCATGTATTCTTATAATATTTATTAATAATTCGGGCGATGAAACATACGTACTATTCTTTTAAATAACGTTTCAAAGTAAGACTACATAATCCAAAACAAATTGAGGGCATTGAGGAGATAGACAATAATACAGGTTTTATAACTAAAAAGAAATCGTACTTGAACCAGGCGTACGGAGAGTTCACTAAGCTAAGATCGTATAGAACAATGCCACAGGAGAAAGACCTTGAAATGAATCAAATAAGCCGTTACACTTCCTAGAAAATTCAGTAACAGTATGACCGAAAACCGCTCGATAGAATCCCGCCAACCGTACATAAATTTGGGTCAGTATTTGTAAAACGAACGAATCCCAAAGATGTCTATGTTATAGTATAACTCTTAAAAGATTCAATAGAGTAAGTATTCATTAAATATACGCTCAATTTGTTTATAGATCGGACGTAAAAAACAGCTGTCACGTTATGTAAACTCCAAAAATAAATGAAAAGATACTTACAAAAGAGATCTGGGGACGGTGGAAAACATTTCAAAAAATATTTTTCATCTACACAACTGAAATCCTTAGCAACGACAGCGAGCACGCGAGTAATTACGAATAATATTTTTATTATTTTAGATTTGCAAAGCAACGCCCTCCATCCAGGTGGCAGTGATGTGACTGACAGCTGACAGCTAACTGACGATCTGACAGTTGACTGACTGACATTTCGGCTGCGCCTCGTTGATCGAAGATCCAATCAAAATCTTAATCGATAAATCGTCCAGTAACATTACTTTATCATTTCTCATCTCCCCATTTTCTACCAGCTAAAACTGCCAATCAGCATTTTGCGGTTGTAATTTTTGTCTTTCGCCTTTAAAAACGGTGGGTAATCAACAAGGAAAATACATTTTAACTAACCGGTAAAATTCGTTACCGGTATACAGTGAGCTCGATTGTTCGAGCTCTAGTAAAAAATTGTCTATGAATTCTTTTTGACAGGACGGCCTTGACAAAAATATTGACAGTTTAATGACATGATAGATGTCAACTTTTCGGTGAAAAAGGAATTCCGTATTATTGCAAAATAATTAATAAATTCAAGATTTTTTTTAGTTTTGGAAGTAATAAATCATTAAATGCGATGATTCGAGAAGATGATCCTCAGTTTCGCATTACTCCGTTTCAACAAATGGCTTCAGCATGTTCCGGTGCCCTTATAACCTCATTATTTAGTAAGTTTTTGTTTGTTATCTATTATTCCGTCTAATAAATAAGTAAATCTGCTTACTAGCTGGACAGCCACTAGGTCTATAACTAAGACAGCCACTTTAAATATTAAATACTTCCGCCTAGCAACGACTAAAAATTTTTCAATTTTACAAAACAAAAATCTTATCTCTAATCTTCTGCACTTCAAACTGTCAAGGTTAAGGTTTCTGTGGAATTTGAAAATTAATTTTAACTTTTACATAATGTAACTGTTTCAGTGACACCTCTAGATGTTGTTAAAATAAGATTACAAGCTCAGCAAAAGGCACTGTTGTCAAACAAATGTTACTTGTACTGCAATGGACTTATGGAGCACCTTTGCCCTTGCGGCGAGACTGCGTGGATTCCCCGACGAGTGCACTTCCATGGTACAATGGTATGTAATAATAATTACCCTACAATATTGTAGATTAAGGTAAATTAAATGTGCATATGAACTAAGTTTATTAAAGTAAAAAGTTGTTGCTTTGGCTATGGCAGAGTGTGTTATTCTGAATCTTGGAATAGCAACACCAAACAGTTCATTTGTTTTGTCTCCTAAATTTGGATGATAATTCTTAATGCCCTGTACTAGATCCCTTACAAGTTAACATCTGTCTTCAAACTTTAACTGCAGATAAATCCTCTCCCTACAGTTTTAATTATGTTTATTTATGTTTTAATTTCAGGATGCTTTCTACAAAATAGCAAAATTGGAAGGTGTGCCCGCATTGTGGTCTGGTTTAAGCCCAACTTTAGTTTTGGCTCTGCCATGCACTGTAATTTATTTTGTGTCCTATGAACAACTCAGATACAGAATGAAAACGTTTTACAACCAAATGTCCGGAGACCGTAAGTTTTTGTTATTATTTGTCTAAAATTGCCCTTATTTTCCAGCGTAAGACTTCGATCAAGTGGTGTGTAAAGTACATTAAGTCCTAGTTACCCTTTAGACGTTGTTAACATTAGGCTTACTGATATGATGTAATTTATAGCTTGTCTTTGATTACGAACAATGGCATGGTATTGTGTAATCTGTAGTCAAGTGCTTGTTTTCCCAACCTTAACTTCAAGGTGAATTGATGGCAACAAAAGTTTCTAATTGTATTAAAACCATTTTTAAGAAACTTAGTTTACTGTTTGAATAAGATCTTTATCATACTTTATTACTTAGTTAATGTACTACATTCTGTCGATAATAGCCTCAAGTTGCATCCATTATTATTCCAATTAAAATACACATTTGTATAGTTAATTATGTATACTCTTTCCTGTATTTCACCAGTTTATTAGCAACTTCTCCATCACTAAATACTTTATTTTATTAAAACTACTTACTAATCCATGTTAATAATTTCGCAGTGTCTCAACCAATGTGGATACCCTTGATAGCGGGGGCTACAGCCAGAATGACAGCTGTGACTATAGTCAGTCCATTGGAATTGATTAGGACAAAAATGCAGTCAAAGAACTTAACATATGCAGGTAAATATTGATTACAATTTATTAATGTGAAGTGATTTCATACCATACTTTCTTGAATAAATAAACTAAGTATTTTGAACACAATTTAAACTATTTTATCGAATTCCTTTCAGAAATAACATCTGCATTGCGAGACGTAATAAAATATGAAGGTCTTAGAGGTCTGTTTCGTGGATTAGGATCAACGCTTTTAAGGGATGTTCCATTCTCAGGTATGACAATATTCTTTGTGCTACTATAGCAAACATTTTCTTAGACTTGAATTGTGATTCATTTAAATGTGTTGAATATTTACAGGACTTTATTGGACAACGTTTGAATCAACAAAGAGAGTATTTAATAGGCCTGACTCTGAGAAGAACACATTTTTATTCAATTTCTTCTGTGGATCTGTTGCTGGCAGTGTGAGTATAACAAAAGCACTTCATAAATATGTGAAATCTGCTTATTGTACAGACCAAGACAAAGCTGTATATATAACTTTATTTTAAATCTTTTATTTTTTTCATTAGATTGCTGCATTTGTGACTTTGCCATTTGATGTCGTCAAAACCCATCAGCAAATAGAGCTAGGTGAAAAAGAAATTTATACAGGTGAGTCACTTGTCAGCATTTATTTCTAGTCATACTATTGAAAACTATTATTATTCCAATCTTAATTTTTTATTATTTCTAGATGGAAAGGTTCAACAGCGGGCTTCTAATATGCAGGATATTGCTAGAACCATATACCGTAATCACGGTGTAAAAGGATTGTTCACGGGCTTACTACCTCGAATATTCAAGGTTGCCCCTGCATGCGCGATCATGATTGCCACATTTGAATATGGGAAACAGTTCTTCCAAAAGTACAACACACAGAAATATAAGGAGAAAATGCAAAGGTGAGCATGAGAATATTACGTTCTGTATGTAATGTGTGTTCCATTTGAGAGTGGGTGGCAGTCAGTGTCTGTTTGGAAAAATGGAAGCACCAATATTTATAAGAAATATACATAAATATTTTATTGTTCAAATTAATTCTGACTGTAATAGGTTGTTTAAACTAAAATATTGATGCTACTATTAATTTGTGTGGGTTTTTGAATTGTACTTGTTTCTGCCATCAATTCCATTGTTTTTATTAAATTAGAAATTATATTGGTGTAGATAATGAAAATGCTTGCTTATCGACAACCAGACTACAAAACCATATTATTTTAATTCTTTTTCAGTTCATGCACAGATTGATTTTTGTTTTTGTTTGCTTTTTGTTTGTTTTATAAAACATTCTATTTCAGACAAGGAATAGAAATAGAAATTATTAAAAGCGAATAGTTGCATGTCCTTGCGCTCCTGAAGGTATTCTGTTTATTTAATAATGTACATGTTTTAGCAAGTGCTTTAGTTAAATCTTTAATTTTATCACGTTAGCAACTATTTGTAGCTTTACTGTAAATTATGAGACAGATACCAAATTAATTGTAAACTTAGACCCTCAAAAAAGCAAATAACTTTGGTTTTTAATGGTTTTTTCTTTTTTATTTTCAGGCACCAAGATATTGTGTTGATAGGAAAGACTAACAGTAGTGACTACTCATGATTCAATAGTTCAGAAGCAAGAAATGAACCAAGAAAATGAATGATCAAATAATATTATTGTGATAAAACTAGCTTAGCTAATAGTCAATACAGAATGTTATGCTTGCAATTGAGAATAATGCATAGAAACATCTGTAAATTGTTACCAAATGAACTCTTAACTAACAAAATATAGGCAATTCTGCAATCATGTTAGGATTTATTTATATTCATTTTGTGATATTGTAGGTTAACATTTCAGGCTTAAAATAGTTTTTGAAAGTACTGTATTTATGTAGTACACAGCTACTTCGACCTGAATACCGATGAGTTTGTATATTAGTATTTTAGACTATAGTAGCAAATTCAAGCAAATAGCAATAAAACCGGGGTTCGAAAATATCCGATATATATCATAAATATTCGATATTTATGATATATATCATTAGGATATTTTCGAACACTGAATAAAACTGTTGTATTTTTGCATAATGCCTATTTAACATGACGTTATTAGTTCTATGGGTTAGTTTTGATGAGTAACAAACGAAGGTAGCCAAAGGCATTCGAACATTATGTTCTTGTATACTATTTGATATTCCAGTGCTTTCTTTGAAAGAATCACTTCTGAAATTTTCATTTATTTGTCTAAAAAATAGAACAATTATTTTTATTCATGTGACTATACATATTATTTTGAAACATTTAGCAATGTAATTTTTTGTAAATAGTTTTATGTTGATACCCCATGTTGTTTCACCTGTTGAGTATAATTATGTAGGCTTTATTTTAAATTGTTTTTGTAAATAATCACCTGGACCTGAATAATTTGTAAATAGGATAAAATAAATGTTAATTCTGTCAAGAAAACAGTATTTTTTTATTTTTAGAATTCATTTGGATCTGTTTCATCACCACATACTTAACCTAAATTTTCAAATCTGATATCTGGCAACAAAACAAAACCTTTCCAACACAGTCTAATACATTATTACAGTGTATTAAATTATTATTCTAACTACCAAAAAAATATCATTCACTTGAAGGTATAATGATTTTAACACAGGTATTCTGTTAAACTAAACATGCATGTGAAGCTGTGGGAATGTTAGGCAAAATGAAAAATAGCAATTGTATAAAACTAATTTATTTATTACAATATTCTTAAAATAAGCTTAGTGTACAATGGGTCCCAGGGGTTCTGCTTTTATATTACCAAGGTCTAGTCTGCTGTCTATAGATTCATCAATTTGCCCGACCACTGCGATATTGTCGCCACGAATTATGTGAAGTCCAAGCACTACTTGCGCTACCCCAGTTGACGAAGAAAACACACGTTCATGGGATTCATCTAAAATTATGTTTATTGTTTGATCAAAACCCTTCAACGTTCCAATAAAATTTCGCCCATCTGCGGTTATAACAGACACTGTCTGGTTTACGTAATTTTCTAATCCTGAAGCCATTGTCGTAGAAAAATTTACAGCTTAGTATTTCTAGTTAGAATTACTGTAAATTAAAATTGAAATATTTATCGTCGTTTATCGGCGTTTTCGTAGGTGTCAAAATCACAAATGCGGCTGTCACTGTCATCAGTGTCAGTAAACTTTTTTATTGGATTCCTTCTGCAAAAATAGGCAAAGATATTAGGGCATACAGCCAAGTTTTCAGTTTTTTTTTTTTTTTTTTTTTTTCAATATAATAATGACCCTATTCTGCTCTCTGCCCTAAACTTAATTAAAGTGCAATGAATCCCTCTCTTTCCCTTGAGTTTATGTAATAGCACTTTACTGAGACTTAGCACTAGCACGGACTTCTTAAAATAATTGAATAACGAATGCTGCACTGTTTTGTTTCATTTTACACTCATGAACTTTCACGAAAGCAGGATATTTGTTTATTTACATTGTTATGACATACCTACCTAATAAAGTGTTTTATCCAATAGACATTATATTGATGGGCCATTCTTATTCTTACGCATTTTTGTGTGAGATGTAAGAATAGCATATGTTTTTAAAGAAAATCAGTGCACTATAATATAGTGCACTGATTTTCTTTAAAAACATTATAATTTAATATATTATATTAATTTACTTAGTAAAATACCTCTATTAACTAGGCTCAATATCATTTTTATCATAAAACTATTAGAAGAATATTTAAAAAAAGTTATAAGTCCAAAATGTCACGGACCGTGTAGTGTAAGATTCCCGGATTTGGACATACAATATTTTTTTCTGAAGAGATGTTATGTTATTTTGATAAATATTACAGTAATTATGCAAGATTAATACATTATATAAGACTGTTAAAAATTTATATCAATAACTAGCTGACCCGGCGAACTTCGTACCGCCTTAGCGTAGAGATTTTCTTAATATTTTTTTCCGTAAGAACCATCCTTGGACTTCCACAAACATTTAAAAAAAAGAATTATCGAAATCGGTTCAGCCGTTCACACGTGATGCCGTGACAACGCGAAACGGGTTTCATTTTTATATATATCGTCACCGTCGTGGCAGAATTAAATAACTGACACTTTTGGCAAAAACCACTTTTTCCACTTTTTGTATAGTAGAAAGTGTTACCTATATTTTGATCTTACTCTCGTGGCAATATCTATGATATTTCCAAAGATATCTTCAGTTTAGTGAAACTATTGACCATAAATTACAACTCTGTTTGTTGTAGAATTTACGTGGCAAAACTGAATAAGTGACTTTATTTAATTCTGCCACAACTCACTGCGAACNATCAATTGCAAACATTTAAAATAAAGTTTGTTTACACTTTGACAACAATAGACTGACATGCAAGGTGACATGTCAATGACGTTTTCAGTTACTGTTGCCATTAAAAGAAATTAGTACCATTAGTTTTCCGCAACATGGCGAGGGTTTTTATGTTCCTGGTCAGGCTATACTTTCGATACACATCGCAAAAAGTTAAAAAAAAAAATCTTTAATTTAAAAAAAAAAATTGGCACAAATTTAAGAATGGCCCTGATAGATTCACAGTTACTGCAAACAATAACTTTTACTTGAGAAAATTGATGATATATCTTTATTACAGATTGATATTGTTGTGCTGTGTACTATCCTTAAATAAATAAATAAATAAATATTTTTTAATACACCATTATTAAACTAAACATAAATATTCGGCTAATTTAGAAAACAAAACAAACATGCTCTTCACTTTCCCGCCGAGAAACAAGAAGTGAAATCTGTGAGTGAAATCCAAAGATTTGTTTAGTGCAGGAAAAGGCAAATGCGTTAATCCATACAGCCAAGTCTCAAGTTTTTTTGTACACTACTTTTATTATTTCAGTACCGAAACTACTGGATTGATTTGAAAAATTATAACATTTTATTAGGGGTACGAAGCGCGTGGTTTGCCCAACACAATCAACAATCCGCTTTAGATATCCCTCCCATTCCCTTGAGTTTCAGTAAAGATATGCGCCTCATCTCCATTTAATGAGACTTTAATGGACTCCAAAAGAAGTTTGAACTGATCTCTTTTTTTCCGATTGTTTTGTTTCATTTGCCTACACTCACGCACGTTGATCCTGAGGCCGAACTTCAAACCTGACCCATAGTACGGGACGGTCCTAGTTACTGAAATTAAATAATTCTTATCAAGGAGATAAATAAAACCATAAAAAACATTATTGTTATTATTTATTATCTAGTTGTCGTGTATTCTACGCATCTAGATGGATCGGTCGGGAAATATTCTTGGCATTTGGTCATGAGTCTCTTCAGGGCTTGAATGTATTTTCTTTGTGTTTCATCGTTCATCACGTGCGCCACGTTTTTAGAAAAGATCTTCTCACGACCGGTACGGGCATGGATACCTACCATGGTCACACCAATGGGCCAGGGGGCATTGCCAATGGCCATTTGAAGATACGCGTCACTGGCCTGTAATAAGAAAATATGAAGTTATGGCTTCAACATAAATTTCAATCTGTTTCAGGGTTGTGGATAAAAAAAAAAAAAAAGGTTTTCAGGGTGTTTTCTATGTATAATATGTATGTATTTACAAAAAAAAAAGTATTTAAGTATGTTTATATCCGTTGTCTAGTACCCATAGTACAAGCTTTGCTTAGTTTGGGACTAGAAGCGTAGTGTAAAATGTCCAAGGAAATTTATTATTTATTTATTAGCGTACCTAGTGGCACCAATGATCGACACTTTAAGGAGATATTGGGCTTCTTATTAAGATTAATGGTCATTTAGTCATCTTTAAACCAAAAGTAACGATTGAGCATGATAAGGTATATTCTTGAGATAAGACTAGGATGTATTATTTTTATTAACTATACACGGACTAGAAAAAAATCCCAAAAAATGAAAAAGCATATATTAAATCTCCAATCATCGACACCGAATCTCCAGTAGTCAACACCCAGTCATCGACAGCTGCCACTTACCGACACCCAGTTATCGACGATCTAACTATATTCGGTTGTCAAATGAAAAATGTTCCAAAAAATTACTATCGACACGTGTCGATTATTGGAAAAGTCAGTTTGTGAAAACCAGTGATCGACACCAACATTTTACTAATATCAAAATAACATTTTAAATTCGTTATAACAAAAATAGATTCTATAGTTCTTAAAGTAACCCGTGAAAAAGATAAAATTCAAATAAGTTACAATACAGTAGTGTAATTAACAAAAAATGTACTCACTTCCTTAAGGATTTTACTAAGAAATGTTGTTATTTTCACCGGTACTCCAGCCGCAATCAGTTGTTATACTGCCATTTTCAAAATAAATTGGCGGATTTTGCTTAAATGTCAATGGGAGGCAGTCAAAAGTGTGCTTTCTATGGTACAGTGTTGACATATTAAGAAATCGATTTTATACTCTTATTTTATTGAATCAAAAAATAAAGTGTCGGTCATTGGTTCTTGTCGGTCATTGGTGCCACTACGTTATTTATTAATCCCAACTAATATTATAAATGCGAAAGTAACTCTGTCTGTCTGTCTGTCTGTTACGCTTTCCCGCTTAAACCTCGCAACCGATTTTGATGAAATTTGGCATAGAGATAGTTTGAGTCCCGGGAAAGAACATAGGATAGTTTTTATCCCGGTTTTTGAAACAGGGACGCGCGCGGTAAAGTTTTTCTGTGACAGACAAAATTCCACGCGGGCGAAGCCGCGGGCGGAAAGCTAGTTATAAATAAAGAGCATAATTATTTATTGGAATGGTTAACTAAAACAAAATCTCACATTAGAAAAAAATATCAATAGGGCATCTTAAACCAAATAGTCAGGCCAAAAATGATTAAAAAATGTTTACCATAATGTAATTCCTTTCCAATAAATGCTTAGTAATTTCCATGAGGCTGTCACAGATGTCTTCGGGAAGTGTTTTCTTTTTCAATTTTCTCATCAGGGGTTTTAAATACACTTGTGTCTGTGTGTAAGTAGCTCTTGCCATTTTGTGTTTTACAGAAGTTTTCTCTGCTGCTGTTGCTGAATTAAGTTGCTGTCCCCACATTGTTAGAAGGAACTGAAAAGAAAAGAAAATATTTCTTTACATTTATTTTTTCAAAAAAAGTAGAATCCTGTGATGTCACTTTAAATTCAAATTAACATAATTATTTCAGTAGTTCACCAGGAGAAAATGATATAACAAAATTACACATTCAAAATTATATTTACCTGCAATAATGCCATTATCACATTCATATCATGGATCCTGNGAATCCTGTCACCTTGGCCCATAGTTTTTGCCATTTCTTGTATAAACTCATATGTGACTGCGTCATCTAAGGCATCATCATTCATGTTTTTATCTGATTCACTCTGAAATGTGAAAAATTGTACATTATTGTAACATCTAATGTAATAAAAATATAATGTGTTTCTTATTATGCTATGCATTGTGTAGGAAGGCTTAACCCTTCAAGCTCTGTGAATCCAGTCGAGACACAATAGAAATCAATTGTTGTGAGGTCTTATGCAACCACTTGGGGTTTGATGGGTAGCGCTTTATTAATAGGATGAAAGTATAATTTTTTTCATTACCTGTGTGCCTAATGCCAGGATTTCATTCAGGTAAGCCTGGTCAACTTTGTCCATTGCTTCTTGGAAGTCATTGCGGAATCCCTGAAAAAAAAATCAAATAAAATAAAAGCAGGTTCTTATTAATCTTTACAGCCCAAAATTTTGATATAAATGATAAATTGACTCACTCTATTTGCTTCAGGCTCCTGGATTTCTATTCTCCGAAGTCTTCTGAACGATTGGCTCTCACTCTCAGCAAACAACAATATGGGGTGACCTCTCTCTCGCAGACGCTTGATGACTTCAGCCCTAGGTAATGATACTGTGTCTGTCTGCTCTACTTCTGTGCTATCTTGTCTGGTTACTATAATAAAGAAATAAAAATTATAGAGTAGATAAATGTTGAAAATTTTAAATTATGCTATCTCTCAAAACTGCTATGCTATTTCGTAAAAAACAACAACAACAAAAATCAACCCGATTGTAATCCATTACGTTCTACAATAATTTAAATAGCCTGTGTAATAAAAATAACCTTTTTCTTTCTTTTCTTCCCTCGATTTGTCAGTATCTTCTTCTTTAATCTGGGGTCCATATTTCTTCAAGTATTCTTCTTGCTCCTTAGCCAATAACTCCCCACGTTTGAAATACTTTTTATTCTGATTCTGTAAAATATGAACGCACAGTGGCATTAAAACTGTAATAATGTTGATGATGTGGTCTAGATGTTTGGATTCATTACTTACAAGTACATTTTTTTCTTCAAGAAGCTTGCGTTTTTTAGCAATTTCTGCTTTGAGTATATCCATTATAAATTAAAAATGTTTCTTGTTTATATTGATTTTACACAATCAAAACAACACACGCACACGTTTAATTTGTTTTCGACAAAAAAAATGGTATTTTTTTGACAGTTAGTTTTGACAACATTGACAGTACTATTTTAACGTTCATATGAGTATCGAGTTTGAATTAGAAAAAAAAACAACGAGCATCGAGTAACTTAATTGGAGAGGTAATAGATCAGTGGTGAGTCTACACAAAGTGCACATTATTATTAAAGGATGATGGGCATATTGGGCGTTAAACCAACAGAAACAAAAAGTATACTAAATTAAAGCTTAATACTAGTACTTCATTTCATAGTATGACAACAAACCTGAAATACGCGGGGATACGGAGATAGAGGTCGTTGAATATGCAAAGTTTCTATAGTATTTCACATCATATTAGAGTAATAAAAATAGTATTAGGTCAATTAGATTGATTGCTTTTATCGATCATATTGAGAGTATTGTATCTTATATTACTATCGATTCTATCGATTTAGTAAGTAAGTATGTATGTATACCGAATAAATCATAATCGATTATTCGATTGAAATAATCGATTATATTGCTGAAAATAAGGAATTGAATTAATAATTAAATGATAGTATTGATGATAATCAATAAAATCGATTAATCGAATTGTTAATCGATAAATCGTTATTTGGCAATATCGATTAATAATCGATTCGTGATCGATTATGCGACAACACTAAAGCTTAACTGGTAGAAATCCCATTGAAACATGACTGTGTTCATTTCATTTCTCTAAATGGTACCTACGAGTAGGTGTGGTCCTACGCACGTAATGTAGAACATGGACTTATTTTATACAATTTGTTGGCCCCACTCCTTAACTGTTGGACATAATAATTGATAAATAACTTAATGTATCAATGTAGGTATATTAATTGATTATATTTTTTGTTTGCGCAATAAAACANCCATACAAAATCTGGCATTGCCATTTTCAAACCAGTCGAAAAATGGTCAAAAGGCCTTTTTTTGTATGGAACTTTGATGGATTCGATTTTCGATTCGTCAAAAAGTGTTAAAAAGTATAATAAAAATAAAATCCCTTGGGATATATTTTAAGCATTACAAAAGTTTACACTTTTTTGCAAATAAACACTTATGAGAAAAAGGAAAATACCTACCCTGACCAATTTAATAAATAAGTTCATGCACAAATGTTTGTATTGTGCGGAAATCGAACCTGCGACCCTCCTGGCATAGTAGAGTACGCGGACTACTACATAAACAGTCATCTTAGTTCTTTAATCATTATAAGGATGACTTTGTGATTATACTTACGCCCGTATTCACAAACGTTACTATGAGGTATCAAAGTGCGCGTGGACGCACAGGGTCACGCACAAACCAATCACAGAGCTCTATTCAACGCAGTGCGTTCGATTTGCTGCTTCACTTAAGCAAGCATCGTTTGTGAATACGGGCGTTAATCATTTCACTGTTTCTCTTTAAAACTTGTACTTGTTCAATCGTTATTCATCATAGCTGACCCGGCGAACTTCGTACCGCCTTAGCGTAGAGATTTTCTTAATATTTTTTTCCATAAGAACCATCCTTGGACTTCCACAAACATTAAAAAAAAAGAATTATCGAANTAGTAGGAAAAAATGGTAAGTAAACAAAGTTATTTGCAAAACATTTTAGGAATGTCACACTTACTTTAAAAAGTACGAGAAGTTATCAATAGGTAATTATACTTATCAATAATTGCGCTTATAAACGATAACGTGATAAAGCTGTGATTGAATATTATAATTTACGCTTGTTTAAAGATAAAGAGTTAGTTATCTGCTGAGATTGAATACGAAAAAAACGCGTAAAAGTGGAGTAGAGAAACAAAATTAATAATGAATATCCAAGTTCTATTATTAATGATACTGACTCTATGTGCTGCTCGAATAAGTGGTAATAATAAAAAAAAACTACCAAAATGTGGTTAAAGTTAGCATTTGTTAAGTGTTCTCTTACTTTACAGCTGCGACAGCAAGACTGGTCGGTGGTAAAGATGCACCAACTCATTTTGGAAGGTTCCATGCCTCACTTCAAAACTTTACTGGGCATCATGTGTGTGGTGGAGTGATTGTATCACACCATCACATTGTTACTGCTGCCCATTGTGTTCTTGGGTAAGTGATTTTAATGTTACTGATAGTAAAAACGAGTGAGATATTGCAACTGGTTTGCAGCTCATGAATTTTTATGTTTCAGAGCCGAGCCACAGTATATTAAAGCAGTTGTTGGTACTACAAATTTAGATTATGGAGGTCAACATTACGATGTTTCTTCAATATACATCCATGACGAATATAACATAACTTCAAGAATAAATGACATAGCCGTAATCAAGGTTATAGGACAATTCAACTTAAGATACGTTGACATACTGACTTTTTATGAAAATGAGTTGGAAGAAGGAGACCAAGTGATTTTATCTGGTTTTGGTGCAGAAATGGTACGTAATAAATTAGTAGTTATGGTGCCGCTACAACAATTTTCTTCATGCAGTAATAGAGCGTCGCTAATCTGAACTAAAATTGGGGGATTTGGGGGACCGCATACCCATGCGCAAACCGTTTTTTTTTTCAGATAGCCAAACTGTATTAATGTAGACAGAGACTTATATCTACAGGCGAATTTAAACATTCTTGTCATGAGTCTTGAATGACAAAAAGAAATTCATCACAAAAAGACCAGCCCTGCCCAGTCTTTTGTATGCTTAAAATTTTTGAGACAACTGCGCGAGTGCATAGCATGAGAGAACGGATAATCGACACTCTTCAGGAATTATATTTTTTAAACATTTTCTTTTAATAATTTCTAGCCAAATGGGGAGTCTAGTCGTACGATGCATGTACTTAACCTACCAGTATTCAATCAAGAAACATGTCGATATGCTATGCGATATTCAAGAGAAGTCACTGACACAATGTTTTGTACATTCACTCAAATTGGTGAAGGAACTTGTCATGTAAGTGATTTGTAAGAAAACAAATCAATGTAATTATCAAAATATTCGAGAATCAAAGAAGATAAAACGTAGTCAATTCTAAAATTTGTAACAATTTATTTCAGGGCGACTCAGGAGGACCACTAATTAAAAATTATCAATTGGTTGGATTAGTGTCATGGGGTATTCCATGTGCAGTCGGTTTTCCTGACGTGCATACACGGATAAGACCTTATGTGAGCTGGATAGAAGAACAAATAAAATAATGCAAAAATGCATTACACTAATACATTTTAGTGCATACAGTTTACAGGTTTACATAAATTTTATACGTTCACGAGTTAACATTTCAAAATCATTTGACCATAAACATCAGCAGCTAGACTGTCAAAGCAATGCTGATGGCGAAATTACATAACTCATTTCCTAAATATACTGAACATAATTATAATTATAGAGTCGTTAAAATAAGCCAGAAAATTGGCGGTAAAAGTTTTATTTAATCAAACAAAAACCCGCGCGGATTTTGAAACTTAATTTGAAGAAAGACAGTTACTTTGCTATCTAATAACTTTATCTGTCGTCTTTTTGTTACTGCCAAATAAATTAATTATACCTTGCCTTGCCTTTTTAATATTTTTTTCATTCTCCTCAGTTTGTTCATGTTAATCTGCAAATTAAAATATTTAAATTTATCCTTTTATACAAACCTAGTAGACCTTTTAATTATCTAATAAATTATAAATTTAATGTATTGTCTTCTAATGAGGGCTATCGTTTTTATACTTAACAGTTGGCACCCCTGGCGATTGACAGGACCTTACTCTACAGTGGCGCCATCTTGATGAGTGCAAATGCAATAGTCCTCCTACCACTTTAGCGCTCACAAGTTGGCGCCACTGTCTTCGCTACTAGCAAGTGACAGGACCTTACTCTACAGTGGCGCTAACTGGTGAGCGCTAAAACGATAGCCCTCATTGGCATGTGCTAAGCCGTGTGGTGACTAGTGATGTACAAGGCTCGAGGCTTCCGTCCCGTCCGAGTCCTTTTGCCGAGAGCTCCGAGTCGTTTACAGGGCTCGCCTCGTTTGTATGAAGCTCGACGACTTGGAAGTCTTTTTTAGAGTTCGAGCCTTTTTCGGGGCTCGCCTCGTTTGTAGCTTGGAGTCTTTCGCTGAGCTCGAGCCTTTTTGAGAACTCGAGCCTTTTTGAAAGCCCAGTTAAATTTTGTGTTAAAATCGTTCTATTAAATAAAACTGCAGAATTATGATAAAATACATATTTGAAAAACGTTTTTTACAAAAGGACACAAATCAAACAATGACTATTAAAAATCTTATAATAAAAATCAATGTAGGTGATGTTTATTTTTATTTAATTTGGAGGTCTTTCAAAGGTTTGAGCTCTTTCGAAGGTTCGAGCTCTTTCGAAGGTTCGAGTTCTTTTGAAGGTTTGAGCTCTTTTGAAGGTTCGAGCTCTTTTGAAGGCTCGAGCTCTTTAAAGCTTCGAGGCATGGCTCAGAGAGCTCGCAGCTCGGCTAAACTCGGGACACCGAGCCTACCGAGCTCACTGAGCCTTGCCTTTCTGCCTCGAGGCTTCAAAAATAGGACTCGACGCCTCGAGTCTTGTACATCACTAGTGGTGACGGCAGAGTAGAATACACTTGTCACCAACCCCTACTCTTCTCGCGGTGTCGTAGGAGTAACGTGACCATACGTCCCGCTTTGGGCGGGACTGTCCCGCTTTCAGACTCTGTCCCGCTGTCCCCCGCAAGAGCAAAAACGTCCCGCTTTAACTTTAAGAATGCATCTATCGTTTGGATTTACTGATCACGCAAGGGTTTATTAGCAGCGGTCAAGAAGCGAAAGTCTTTGACACTTATTTCTAACATTGTGACAGATGAAAAGATCTCTGGCTGGATTGCCGAGAATGTTACTACTGAAAACCGTTGGCTCGAATTATTCCAGCACTTTCGTACCAACACTCTTGATGTAACAAACTTTTCCATACTTATCGAGTACGTTATGTGTCTGCCAGGAAGTAACGCACCAGTCGAAAGAGTTTTTTCTCAAATGAACAAAATGTGGAATATTATCTGTGACCCAGCTAAGTGTAGCAGTAATGAAAGCTATGTTGATTACGAAAATGAATATAAATAAATCATGCAGTGAGTTCCATAGTTATCTAAAAACAAGATAGGTACGATATTCTAAAACAAATTTGTTCCGCCGACAAATACAAAAATACGACTTAGAAGTCACCCCACTACTTAACTGTTTTGTGTTTAGTGTTTTGATTTGTGTTATTCAATCTTCTATAAACTTGTAAAACTCCCAAAACTTTGTTTTATTTTATAATGCCGCAGGTTTTTTTACAACTATTCCTCAGTTGTCCCGCTCTGGCACAGAAAATAAGTGGTCACGTTACGTAAGAGGCTACTTAAGGGCTTCACATCAAACAGAGAACGGGCAGCAGCGCTCTCTGAAAAACATCAATTGGCATAAAATAGTTATTTATAAAACAAACCTGATAGTTACGTGTCTCCGGTTTTACATCCATTATGACCGCCATCACAGGCCTTCCGTGAGCGCACTGGAATGGAGTTTTACACGTCGAAAGAGATCGCACTAATTCGACACATTCTCTGTGTGGTAAATTGTCACCAAACTTTATCGCGTATCGACAAGCCTGGAATATCCAACGTCTTTATTATTAAAACTTACTTATGTGAATATTTCTGAATTTGAAAAAGAATTGGTAGGCATGTCTTACTTCACTAAATATAAGATCCATTATTGATTTTGGATACAGAGAAACACATCCTTTTTGAGATCGAATCACGTTTATTTCCTCCGAAATTAAGCTTCTTACAGCGCTTATCACTTTTTCAACCTAGAAAACAATCTATATATATATATAAAAGAAAGTCGTGTTAGTTACTCCACTTATAACTCAAGAACGGCTGAACCGATTTAGCTGAAAATTGTCAGGGAGGTAGTTTAGAGCCAGGAGAAGGACATAGGATACTTTTTATCCCGTTCGAAATTAAAAAAAAAAAGTTTGCTTATTTATTGCCATTAAGGCGGAACAAAGTTCGCCGGGTCAGCTAGTTTAAAATAAAATACCGCTTGTTTATGTAAAAACAATAGCATATACTTAGTACTTCAGATTAGGACATCCGACTTGTATGTAGAATCTTAGAACTTCGAGATAGGTAAATAGAAATAGCTTACCGGTCTAGGATTTTTTCCAAGTATGGCAGCTGGTATAGCATGTAGAGTTATGCTGTAGTTATTCTGAATAGTCCAGTCTAAACCAAATTGCGCGAATTTGTCCTTAAAATTATGTAGGTAGAGAATTTCATCTTTAGACATCTTGAGCAAGACATCATCCAGTGTAGATTGCTTCCATTCGTTATTGCTAAAATAATCTGCTAAATACCTCATGGTTTGAAATCCCAAGAATGTCAAAGTATTGTAAAACAAAACCTAAAATCTAATTGCTTACGTCATATTATACCATAGTAACATATATAGTTAGTTCTTATTAATAATATCAAATGATCGTTCATATTTTCATAGTTACCTGCCAAATTTTCCTCAAGTCGAATTCTTTCGTGTACCGCATGTTGGTCGAACAACACTAGGAATTCTGATTGGTTCGTCTTACCTTTTATGATGCTTGCTATAAACTTGTTGTCTATTTGACCCAAGACCTGATAATGGAGGAATAGTCGATTAGTTTTATATTTTAAATTTTGAACTATTTGATAAAACAATAATCTTACTTTTGCATTCTTCAACGACTTCGCACTAAAAGTCAGCGAAGAGTTTTCTTTTTCCAATCGGTTATTAACTTTGATAATGTTCTTTGAGGCGAGATCTTTAGAATCTTGTACATGGACTTCATAAACTTCAGTGTGGGTTTGAATCTCATCTTTGAACTTGTTATACAGGTCCTGGTAAATTGATGAAACACAAATTAGTCATTTATAATAGAATTAATGAACATAAGTTACTTAACACACTTACATCAGCAAAATAACCACTTTCCAACTGCATATCATTTTTATTTTTCACACAATGAGTATCGAATATAGGTGACATTCCTAAAAAAATACTAAATTAAATCAAACTCATCCTATAGTTTATGAGACAAATTATTCAAGTTATCAAACACGTAAACAATATTTATGTGTAACTGACCCTTAGGTAGAAATCGTGGTCTATTTCGGATCCCAAAATCGTTAGCAGCTAAGGCTCTACCATCTGATGCCTCAACGTTACAAACAAGTTCTTGTTGATTTTCAAATTCAATAATTTGATCAAGTTCAGCTCCTAAAGTATCTTCAAGGCCATTTTTATTTATTGTGTCTGTGACTTCTGGACTAACACCACGATTTATTTCTTCTATAATGGGACTTGGCGACTGAAGAAGTTGTAAAGTGTTATCTCCGATTACATTGAAATTGTTTACTTCTGGATTTAATTCATTTTGTTTCGATTCAGATTGGTTAGTCAGGATAGTTTCACAAACATTCAATGGTTCTATTGTGTTGATAATGGGACTTTTGCTATTATTATTTGAGACAAATATTACATTCAGATTGTCGTCTTTGGGATATTCGTGTGTTTTATTAGCAAATATTTCTTCTCGTTTGCTGTATGTCAATGTCCAATTACTTTCATTACTTTCGTTATAATCGTTGTTCCCTTGTGATTCATTTAACGTATCGGAAATTTTATTCGAAGAGGTTAAAGTGTACGTAAGCCCAATGGTCGATGTAACAACAGTTGTTTGTTGTTGGTTATTCATTATTGTAACTGGAATAACGTAGGTTCTGTTGATGTCAATGTTGGGATGGTGGTTTCTATGACTCTCCCTTTGATCAATTCTGCTATCAGAAAATTCTATTGTATGTGAAGTGAAATTATCAGAAAAACTGTGTATATGAAATTGCTTAGTAGCCGCCTTTGATTTTTCAATTATTTGTATCTTTTTTGGGTAAATATTTTTGTCACTTCTGGCGTTTGAATCATTTAGTATGAATTTATTTTTATTAGATACGATGGGATATCTAGTTTCGGGTTCGTAATTTAAAACATTGTCGTCAGATATCATTGAGCTTTGTCCCTTGTTACAGTAATCAAATTGTTTTTTACTTGCAACATTATTTTCGTTTCTTACATTATGCTGATGACTTGAAGTCCCATTTAATGTGTATTGGTGACTTTGATAAGTTAACATTGTGTTAACGTTTTGATTTTTGGACATTTCTTCTTCATTTTGTTTAAGGTTTTCCTCTTGGTAGTCTTCTTTAAGCTTCAAAGAGTTTTCAGTATTTATTGAGTCAGTTATACATTTTAACAAATCGTAAGAAGTTTTTAAAGTTGCTTCTCTTTTTTCATTGAAACGTTTGTAGTTGGTATTTTTTGGGTTTGCTTTTGGTGTCAATGGAATAAACTCATGGATAATAATCTCTCCAATTCGTTTTCGAATTGAAATATTTTTGTTGTTTCTGGTAATGTTGCTGTAACTCACGCTTTCATTTACATAAACTTTTTGGTTTCTGTTATTATTGTGTGGTAATAAATTTTCTACTTCCTTGGCCAATAAATTGCATCTTTTAAGAACTTCATCGGGTTGTTTTCTAAAAATTTCAACTAAAGGATCTATTTTCAGTTTCTTCTTTGTTTTAGCAGGTTTTTTAATTTTGTTCGATAGTTTTGGACGTTCAGATTTATTGATTTTAGTAGGTCTAGAAATACAGTTCTTAACCTTGTTATTGTTATTGCTGTGTACCGTGTTAACTTTTGCAATTTTATGACGTTCATTTATAATCTTTGGTGTTTCGTTTTCAAGAACTTTATCAATGTCTATCTGATCTGTTATTGTATCGTCAATGATAATATTTTTATGCTTCTTAATAACAGAGCCTTTGGGAGGAATCACTTTAGAAAGCGATAATTTTGCAGGTATGTTCTTTTTTCGTTTGATTAACTTTCCTGAAATGTTGTGAATTAATTTTGTTAGTAAAATACAATAAATATTAACGAAACAAAATGCAATTAAAGTAATTATTTTAAAATACGCTAAGTATAAAGAAAAAAAAAACACTACCTTTGATACCATTTTGCATTTGTGATACGCCTACTTTTTTTGGTTGACTCCCTAATATTTTCTTCATTATCTCTCTTACTTGCTGCCTTGTATCATCTTTCTTATTCTCTTTTGTTATGGCATTTTTGTTATCTATTTCATGAACTCTTTTTATTTCTTTTACTTTTAACTCTCCTTTTTTAAACTTTACCAATTTTTCGATTAGTTTTGTTACCTGATTCCAATTTTTGAATTGCAATGTTGATTGTTTTGGAGTATTGCTAATATCGTAATCGTAGTAAGGGCACGTGATAAAAATAAAGTAAAATGCCAACTGATTTTTAGATGGCTCATGATCTTCGATATGATTTATATTCTGCACAAAGGGAATAACATAATGAATAATAAAGAATGTAGGTAATCAACAATTTCTTATAATCTACAAACCGGTACATCTACATACCTTGGATTTTACTCTAGTTGTTCGACGCGAAGGGTTTATAGATTTTGACAAAGTATCATGAACAATTTTATACAGTTTTGGGTTATTTACAAACTTCTTGTTCAGGTAAACCCAATGATGACAATCAGGATGATCATTGTTCTTAGCAATGTAAGCTACAAGTTTGTACTCATTTTTCTCAGCCTGTAATTCTTGAATGCAGTCCTTTTCAATATCAAATAGCGATTTGAATGTTTGATAAATATCAGAGTTTTTGTGGGTTTTAAAAACGATTTCATTTTTACAATCATCTCTCAAGCTAAATGAAACATTATTATGAACTAGAGACAACTGTTCCAGTAATGTTTTGATGTCATTTATTTCAGTGACTGGATTTATACCCTTATTTTGAATATTTAGGTTGTACAGAAAACCATTTACTTCGACCTGAAAAGTAGTTATTTATAGATGACATTTCCAAATCAATCCATTTATTTAGGTTTTGTAAATACCACGTGACGTGACGTGATGTTATAATAACTTCAATATAATCATAGATCTACTCACTATTATGTAACACATCATAAATGATACTTTACTAATATTAAGACAAATTGATAAAGCAGAGGTGCAATGGTGACTAATTACTTAGAGCAAAAAACACAAAGCTCTATAATAGCCCCGGTTTCAATTGCTTCTTCATTTACAGTCACCACTAAAATATTTGTCCCTAGCGGGTTGAAACCTTTGTAGACTGCAATCTACAACTTACCATTGTCCCTTTGGAAGGCCGGATAGTAGTTTGGGTTAACTCATTCCTTCGTCCCTTGTAAAAAGTTTTTGTCCACGTTTCCTCAGTATTAGATACCCTTGACGTTATCTTGACACATTTGGAAACTTCAGCTAAACCAGCTAGCGATTGACCACGAAAACCATATGAATTAGGAGCAGATTTATATGTTTTCAGATCAACGAATTTGCTAGTAGCGTGTTTTAGGCCAAGTAAGTCAAAGTCGTCTTTGGCAATACCACATCCATTGTCAACGACTTGAATCTTTTTTTCCTGAATGTTGATTCTTACTGCAACTGATGTTGACTGAGCATCCAAAGCATTATAAACCTAAAATGATATAATACATTTAATTTAAATATTTCATACGATTACCTCCGAAAAAACGAGTTTATTTATTATTAATACTTACGAGCTCTTCAACAGCTCTTTTATAATTGAATATGTGTATTGCAGAACTGAATAACGACTGAATATTGATAGAGAGCTTTTTCATAGCCATTTTGTGTCAATTAAATCACATGATAACAAAAACATTACTCCTGCAATCAAAAGACAACTGCGTATTTAATTATGACATTAGATAGATTAAACAAAAGAGAACGCAAACTTTTTATTTTTCATTTCAAGATAGTGAAACTTTTTGCTTGACTACGTATAGGCATACTTTCTTGATATAGGCACAGAATAATAATAAGTACTGTATAGGTACCTAATATCAATAAAGGTTCCTTGTCAGGACTACGGAACTCTAAAAAGGTTTTAGTTCATTCGACTATCTACCATCCAATCAGTGGTTACGTGTGAAACTGTGAATCATCCAATGAACTTTTATTGTAAGGAAAATAAACCTTATGTACCTGGAATTACGCAAATAAAGAAATTTGATTGATTGATTGATTGATTGAATAAATTACCAAGCATTTCGGCTGTCTAGCCTAAGGTTTGTATGAATGAAATTTCCATTACTTATTGGTTTCCGAACTAGGTTATAGGTATAATGAATGGGCATCGATTGGTATATTTTAGAGATGAAACGGATATCCGGTAACTATCCGGTAGGCCGGATATCCGGCCTAAATTTACTATCCGGCCGGATACCGGATAGTAACTCACTATCCGGCCGGATACCGGATATTAAAAAACTACGAAAATTTCCTAATAATAAAATGAAATGCATTAATCTTTGAGGTAAATGTCAATAAAATGGCTTACAATAATGACGAATTTCATTTAAAGTCCAAAAAGTTACAAAAAAGCCATATTAAGGCCTTTCAAAAAACTAATTTATTTTTCTGAGCTATTCACTCTAATGATGATATCTGATAATGTCGAAATATTTCCAAATAAAATAGGCCATCTTTTTTTCCCTGATGGTCTGATGACATGATGCAGTTCAGTCAGATTACGCAGCAAGTAAACTAATTTAATTTTCGCTATTCAATCACACAATCACGATAGCAACCGAAATCGCCCGAATTGATCTGCCCCCTAGATAAGTGGCAAAATCTGACATTCTATTCGGACGGATTCTANGGTATATTTAACCCTGAACTTCCACGTGTCCTGAACACCACCAGTTTGAAGCAGTCGTAATCGAATGGCCACTACACGTAGCCTGTTTTAACGAGGGTTGTAAAAATGTGTATTGTTTGAATATTCAAAACGAGAAATTACCACGCGGTATTAAAGTCTGAAATCAAACGGCGGACTCTTCCATAAATCTTGTATAGAGCGATAATTTAGTTTTCACTGCTTTAAAACTTTAGTATGGTTAATGTGAGTGATTTCGAAGAACATGAGTATAGAAGAAGAAATTAAGCTCTTCTGGGAATACGTTAAACGGTGAGTCATTACTTTTGAATTTTCAACCGACTTCAAAAAAGGAGGAGGTTCTCAATTCGACCCGTATGTTTTTTTTTTCTATGTTTGTTACGCGATAACTCCGCCAATTATGAACCGATTTGAACAAATCTTTTTTCGGCGTATAGGTAATACCTCAAGGGTGGTCCCATTTAAATTTAATAATAGAAAAAACAACCCCCAAGGGTGGAAAATTGGGGATGAACTTTTTTATACGCAATATCTCCGCTGATTATAAATCAATTTGAACGATTATTTTTTTGTTGAATAGGTATTATCAAAAGGGTGGTTTCATGCGAATTTGAAGAAAATATTTCACCCCCAAGGGTGGAAAATTGGGGATGAACTTTTTTATACGCAATATTTTTAATTTTTAGTTTTTTTTGTGTTCACGCATTTGAAGTCGGTTTTATTTTTTTAAAAAGTTAATTATATGTTATAATTGTTAATTTATTAATAAAGAGAAAGAGATAGGTAGAGAGAGGTTTGGACTAACAATGATGAATGAATATTTAATTAATATCTAAGGAAGCTTTAAAGATTTAGTGAAATAAAAATAAATACGTGGAAATATTTTTTTTTACATATAAAGTTTCAGAATACATAATTAATAGTAATTGTCACTGGTATACTACAATTATCATTTATTGCTGTACCTATTTTATTAGATAACTGTAGATATCACACATGCAATATTATATTGGACAACAATATTGGTACAAATGTGATATACCGCTCTAATTGCAGATTTAATTGATGCAATTTATGGAAATGCTATGTGTAGGTGGTAACGAATATCAGTGTGTGATTAATTAATTAATGATAAATGGGAAACCTTTTTTGTTTGATAATGTTGAACTTTTTACTATTTTTTAAACTTTTGTTAATGAATCAACATCTATCATTGGGTAATAGTTAGCCTCATTAATGCACGTTCTTCTTGGCAATATTAAACAGTGAGGAAAGATTGATTTTAACAAATTGGTATCTATCGAACCTAGGAAAACTTCGTTCAAGGCCTTTTAACGCCATCACGTCTCTATTCCGCCGTCAGTTTTTATTCAAAATCCTTCGTGAAGGACATCGAACTTTCATTTTCTATATAATAGTATTCAAGGATTCATTTTAGACTACTTATAACTGGAAGGAAAATAAGAATACTTTAATATTGAAAATCAAAAAAACATTCGTCCGTAGGTACCATTTCAAGGAACCATATTATTTGTCAAAGGAAAATGCTAGATGATTGGTTCAATATCGATTTAACTTAATAATTCATAAGCTAATGTGAAGGTTTTACCGGTAACTATACCGTCTCCAACGTTTAGCTGCTTGTTTTTCAATATTCAAGTATTATCGATTGATAACTGCTTGAGAAAAATGTAGCTGTTGATTGACCTAGTTCTTAAATAGTGTTCCAAATTCTTTAGGTTATAAATGTATCAAATATTTTATTTACTTATATCTCAGCAACAACAACATATCATATGGTATACATTTGACTGAATGAAGGAGGTAATATTAATAAATGGCTATTTTAATATGCAATAAAAAATTTGAATTTGAATTTGAATTTGAATTTGAATTGTTGAATGGCAAACCTATCTTTGGTAAAATATACATACACAGTCACTACACCCGGCTCCTCATCCATTAAGACTGGCATATGTTTTAAAACTTATAACAGTCTGTGTTAATACTCCGCCTATTTTACTCATAAATTCAGACAATGATATCTATAGATAAGCAAGAATGTAAGCTACATGAATGTTGTCTTTAAGAACCCATTATGTTAAACTGAGAACTAGAGATTATACCTATGACCCTATGAGCATTATTGTGATCTTCTTATGATAAAAAATTAATCATTTCCTATAGACGTGTGGTATTTACGTTTTCGTCAAAAAATCACCTCTGTATCAAGTCAACACAAGTTTGCTTGCTTCCCTTATCAACAGAATCTACACAAATGTCTGGATAAGTTTAAAAATATTTTGTCCCGTAAGTGCCCTTTTCTGGGTGTCCTTTGTTTTTGCACATTCCAACGTTTTGACAAATTTTCGGCGAAAGAATTACTTGGTTCGTCTATTATGGACAAAACAATAGCTGTAGATAAGTTTGGCCAGGGGATGGTCATGAAAAGAAGCTATAAATATGGATATTTTGCTGGGAATACCATCAGTTCTTTTGGTGTGTTCGTTGGGGCAGTTGCAGTAAAGTTTGAAGGTAAGTGCGTGTAAATTTTACTTTGATTTTCAAATTTTATACTTAGGCTGGGTTGCACCATCTTACTTTGACTTTAACAAACGTCAAAAATCTGTCAAACTCCATACAAAATATGCCAGTTACCGTTATAGTTACGGTCAAAGTTAGGTGGTGCAACTCAGCCTTAGTGTTGTTATAAGATGTAGAATCAAAAAAAGAAGTTACTAATAAGTAGAGTGATGAAGTTTAAAAGTTCGCGCCAGTAAACTTGTAAATGGTTGCTCGTTTTCCTATGTCTAACATATCTGCGACTAAACCTACTACAATTTAGTAAGCGTTAAAAATATAATAATAATGGATACTTATTATCGTTTTCGTTTCTCCGTAGATGTTCAAGAAGACAGTATTACTTCTGGCCATAGCGTCGGCTTATGCGACCGAAATATCATCTTCATACGCCTTATTAGAGAAGCATTCCACATTCAAGCCCGACTTGAAGACAGAGCCCATTGATGAGAAGCACAGAACATCTGAGGCTGAACGACACCCTGTATACAACCCAGAGGACTACAGACGCGCGTTTGTGAAACCTGTAGAGTCAGCCAAACCTGTGTCTGCTGACCATGACCGAATGCTAGCTGACCAACCTGCTGAAAACAACGCTGATGTCAGCAGAATTGTAAGTAAACACTGGAATTTATTTAAAAGTACTTTATTTTATTTAGAGATACTTTTTAGTCACACATAAATAGGCACTATAATGAACATGGTTTAAGAGAGCGCCTAGTTTCTGTTTCACTGAAAAGCACTTACTTTCCGTGAATTTATGTTTAAAAAGACAATAATTTCATTGAAGTGACTAACACTAATAAATACAAAGTCACAAAGTTGTATACGAATTAAGTAAGTACCTAGGGAGACTTCAGGTCGAGTGTGACTTTGTTTGATAATTCCGTGGTATTTAAATGAATGTTTATTTCAGGACAATCTACAGATTCCTGGATATGGATACTACATGCCCGCACCAACAGACGTGGCTTATCCTGATGTCCCATATGCACCTGGCTACGCATATGCTCCTAGCAAGTCAGTATTATACTCGTAGAACTTAATTACTATCTTGCTCAAATCGCAAAAAAATAAAATTAGCAACAATTTCACCAATCGAGAGCAAATGATCTATTTTTTTTTTAATTATTCAAATGCAACTCCTCGAAATGGTTCACTTGACAATTGCTAAACTAGGTCTTTAATACGAAAAAATCTCGAATTTCGGTACAAACTAAGTATCAATTCTGACTGTAATTGGTCAATACTTACATTCCACCAGTCCGAAGGCTTGAATCCATCCATACTATATTTTAATAATAATAAATAAAATTGTTTATTTTCACACCTTATAGAGCTTATACATTACATCTAAAGTTACAATTAGAATTAAACATACATTATGAAGGAACAGAGAATGGTGTGACTGGAGCCTAATGTAGGGCAGCCCTGTATATCAGGACTCCAGGTCCCACCCGTTTATTATTAGAGTTAATATATTATTTTATTATGAGAGTTTTAATTGATCAGAGTTTTTTGGAATTATTAATTTTAATCATTTTGATTTGATTATTATCATTTTGCAGCTACGACATGTATGTGGAGCCTGACACTTCAGTCGCCAGCATGCTGTGGAGCCAAGTTCCTGATTCTAGGGTAAGTTTTTCCTTAGAATATAATTTTAAGTCAATAATTACCTATTAGCGAAAAGTATTATGAATAAATTAGTTATTATTAGAATTTACTTGAAAATTAATTCAGAAACAATAGTTAAGAGTTAATAGGCAGTTAAGAGGTTATAACAAGAGTCTATGGTAAATTAGAGTAATAACTAAGTATATTGAAAGAATTCATGGATCATGCGATAAGTAAAAAAGACGTACAATTTATAATAACTCATAGAAATACGATGTAATTTAATTTTATACTAATCATATTTTTTCTATTTCAGTCAATCGTCGGCTTCGTTGCGACCACCATATCCAAGATAATGGCGAATGCGTTTCTTATTCTTGTCGGTGCTTTTATTACCGTTGGAATATGTTCTTATACGAGTCTTTGCCATATTCATATCAATGGCATTGGCCCCATTCAAGAGGAGATGAGGTCCCTGATGACTCCTGAAAAGTTACAAAAGATTGGACACGCCGCCGAATTCGTTAAAACTGCGATTGACAAGTACCAGAAGATCCAAGGAGTTGAAAATGTCGAAGCTAGCAGAAGACGTCGCTCGATCTTCTTTTAGATTTAGATATTGTTTAACATGTAAATAAATAAATAAATAAAATATTTCAGACAATTTTAAAAATCCATATTAAACGGGTTCGAAAATAAACATACACACAAACAATAACAAATTAAAAAAAAAACTTATAGTAAAGAATTATAGTTTAAGCAATAAATACAGTTTTATCAATATTGTCGTTTGCTTATCACATTTCCTATCCAAATAATAAAAATATGTACAGGATAGCTCTACTGTTAGGTAGTAGTAGGGAAAATAATTCACTCAATGTTAAAGTTTATGCGGATGGATGGAATGGAATTGGATTAAACAAAACAGTATCAGTTATTGTTTATAGATCAGTGTAGAATAAAGGCTATGTTTATAACAATATAGGCCAAATTGTAACAGTTAGTGTCACAATACTGGGTGATTTTGTAATCAGTATCCGAATATTAAGGTACAATCTTATTCCAATCGGCCGACCGCAAACTGCTAAACTCTATGAAATCTGCAGCGCGGCATTGCAGTGCTGCATTCAACGTGTGCCAATTTTGATAAAAATAATTACATGAAAAAAAAATCTTTACGTGAATCGATTCAGTTACTGATTCTGAGTTGCTCCTAAAAATTTGGACACTGATAACAAAGTCATCCTGTATAAGTTGGTCTTGTGAAGAACAGAAATTCGTGCGGGTGAAGCCGCAATCAAAAGCCTATTCAAAAGGACATGAAATCCTTTAATTCCTTCATGACTCCTGATCCTGACTGACTGAGAAGTTACATAAGATCGGACACGCCGTGTAATTATTCAAAACTGTGATTGATAAATTTAGAAGATAATAAAGTAAACCCATCAAAAACATAAATATGTTAATTTATGAGAGCCAAGTTCAATATTATGATACCTACGTGCCTTGGTTCTTGACTTCATCGAAACAAGAAGTGAAAGGATGATGGGCATATTGGGCGTTAAACCAATAGAAACAAAAAGTATACTAAATTAAAGCTTAATACTAGTACTTCATTTCATAGTATGACAACAATCCTGAAATACACGGGGATACGGAGATAGAGGTCGTTGAATATGCAAAGTTTCCATAGTATTTCACATCACATTAGGGTAATAAAAATAGTATTAGGTCAATTAGATTGCTTTTATCGATCACTAGCTGACCCGGCGAACTTTGTTCCGCCTTAATGGCAATAAATAAGCAGACTTTTTTTTATTACTTCGAACGGGATAAAAAGTATCCTATGTCCTTCTCCTGGCTCTAAACTACCTCCCTGACAATTTTCAGCTAAATCGGTTCAGCCGTTCTTGAGTTATAAGTGGAGTAACTAACACGACTTTCTTTTATATATATAGATATTGAGAGTATTGTATCATATCTTACTATCGATTCTATCGATTTAGTAAGTACCTATGTATACTGAATAAATCATAATCGATTATTCGATTGCAATAATCGGTTATATTGCTGAAAATAAGGAATTGAATTAACAATCAAATGATAGTAATGTGGCAATCAATAAAATCGATTAATCGAATTGTTAATCGATAAACCGTTTTTGGAATGCATCGCGATGTTGTGGCAGTTGACAAAGGCCTCACGCCGCTCTCCTTGGCGAACGAGAACTGGCGCAAGCCAAAGGTCCTGAGCGTCGCGGATCGGAAGGACGTATGGAAGAGCAAGGAGCTGCACGGGAGGTTCTATCGGGCCCTTACAGGTCCTGATGTAGACCTCCTCGCCTCGGTGAACTGGCTACGCTTCGGTGACCTCTTTGGGGAAACCGAGGGTTTTGCTTGTGCAATTGCTGACGAGGTCATGATGACGAACAATTACCGAAAATATATCCTGAAGGACGGTACGGTCGACATTTGTCGAGCATGCCACCGTCCCGGAGAGTCACTCAGGCATATAATTTCTGGTTGTTCGCATCTTGCTAACGGTGAGTACTTGCACAGGCATAACCTAGTAGCCAGAATCATCCATCAGCAACTTGCTCTTCAGTACGACCTTCTTGAATCTGAGACGCCTTATTACCGATACCAGCCGGTGCCAGTTCTCGAAAATGGTCATGCATTGCTCTATTGGGATCGTTCTATCATCACAGACAGGACTATTGTCTGTAATAAGCCTGATATTGTGGTGGTTGACCGATCCCAACGTCGGGCAATGCTCGTTGACATTACCATCCCGCATGACGAAAACCTCGTGAAGGCCGAGAAGGAAAAGCAAAGCAAATACCTTGACTTGGCCCACGAGGTGACCGCCATGTGGGATGTTGACTCGACGATCATTGTCCCGATAGTTGTCTCGGCAAACGGGCTAATAGCGAAGAGCTTCGACCAACATCTAAAGAAGCTCTCGCTGGATGGTTGGCTCAAGGGTCAGATACAAAAGGCGGTGATCCTCAGCACGGCACGCATTGTCCGGAGGTTCCTCAGCCTGTGACCCTACCACCGGTAGCTTGGGCCCTGCTCCGCTACCAGCGGAATAACTATTTTTAAGTATTTTTTTATAATGTTTTTTTTTTTTTTTTTTTTTTTGATAATTTACATTGTAAAAAAATATTTAAAATTAAGAACCAAGGTTAATAAAGAGAATAATAATAATAATTTTTTATTTCGGAAAAAAAATATTTTCCATAGTGGGTTAGTAGTTACAGCCTCCCTAGACAAAACGCACTTTTTGATCGAATCGAAAATCGAATCCGTCAAATTCCATACAAAAAAGGGGCTTTTCGACCACTTTTCGACTGGTTTGCGATTATAATGGCACTTTGTCTAGACCCACAGATGTACTTATAAGCTAGTGTTAGTAATTAAAACAAAGAGAGTGGAAAAAGAAAACCTAACCTAATGTGTTCTGCATTCGCCTCAACTATCGCTGCGCGACCTATGATGACACTAAAAGAAATAGAAAAGTAAATTGAGAAACAAAGCTTACCCTTCTCTCGTTTCTCGCACTAGTCTATTTTGTGATTTTTGTGGACAATTTTTTTCCATTCGATAGGGTCTTGATTGAATGCTATTTTTTATCGTTCATCGATGCTCACAGTTATTCTTCTCTAGATTTTGTCTCAGATCAAGTACAAACTTTCGCCTAGGTTTTTCGCCTTTTGTCGCCGATGTTTATTGCGTCAATTTAGTTATTCTGCGTTTCATTTCTTGACCCTGGCCCTGACCTGTAGATCCCGAGAAAAAAAAGTTGTCAATTATGTCATTAACGTCAGTCAAGTCGGGGCTCTGTTGAATTTTTGTTCTTTGTTGTATTGTGTGTGTAGTGAAATAATTGGTTCTTTTACATTAATTCTGAGATCTTGGAAATCATTAAAATAATCGGGAAAGGTTTCTTAAAAGGTACAAACACTTTAATATACAGAAAATATGTTTTGAGTTGAATGTATTCAATGAGTATAAATATCAAGTGCTGCAACTATTTTGAGCCGGCACCGAGATGCTATCTAATGTTTATTTAGAAATCTTATGGCTATTCGTAACATATACAATAAACAATGTTATCAGTGAAGAAGGTTTGGGTAATCTGGTGAGGAATTCGGATGGTAAATTCAATGTAGATATTAGCGGATGCACTGTGCTAGAAAAGCAATGTTCGCACTTAATTGACGATTTTGCATTATTGTCATGCGCTTTAAATGCTACGCACAGCAACAAATCACAAGTTGCATTCATTTGTCAGCACAAAATATGGACATATCAAGCAGAACTCCTTGACAATAATTACTTGGATTTTAAGTTAAAACAACCATGCCAAGATGAAATGATAACATCAGAATGCCTGAAGCCAACGGAGTACGGCATCGACTGTATACTGAAGAAAAAACCAACTATACGAAGTAAAATTTGTTGGAGGACTATAAATAAAGTTGAATCTTTAATTTTCAATGACTGGCAAATCACGGGGAATTTTTTGAGGAAGTGTTATGATGATATTCAGTCTTTTTCCTGTGGTAGAATTCCCCCAGATCCCAAAAGCCTGTCACAAACGCACACATTGAAATGTCTACTAAATAAAGAACAGGATTTAAAGCCGGAGTGCCAGGCTGAGATGACTGCTCTCAAAGAAATGAAGTATAGCATGTTGCAGCTAGATAAAATCATATTTGCAGCCTGTAATTTGGACCAAAAGACGGTATGTCCAGATGAATTGCCTGGGACTTGGATGATGTACAAATGTCTAGTAGATCATAAATATGACAATGGTAATGTAAACATTTTTTTAATAATTATGTGGGTATTTTACGTTTCTTTTTTATAACTATTGACATTTTATTTCTTTCAGCAATGACAAAAAGGTGTCGCGATCAACTATTTTATGACCAAAGAAATATGGTGATGAACTACAGAATGAGCAAAGGCTTGGTGAAATCATGTAAAGAAGACATACGAAAATACCACTGCCGGAAAGGTGTAGTGGAGGACAAAGATGTTAGACTTGCTCAAATTCTACTCTGCTTGGAAAACGTCTCTCATAATGAAAGTGCAAAGCTTGCCCCTGATTGCTTGATAGAAATGACTGACCACAGAAAGATGTTGATGGATGACTATAGGTTGTCACCAGAATTGATGCAAAACTGTGCCAATGACATCAGTATGCTGTGCAAGGGAGTTGAGTTAGGAGGCAAAACCATCCACTGCTTAATGGATCATGCTAGACCTAGACGAAGAAAAGATAAAAGAATCAGCATGGCATGCCAAAGATCTTTAGAAGTATTGGTACAGGAAGCTGACCCCGGTGAAGATTGGAGAGTGGATCCTATTTTGAGGAAAGCTTGCAAGCCAGTGGTGGACTCAGCATGTAAAGAAGTTGATGGTGGAAATGGCAGAGTGATGTCTTGTCTCATGGAAAAACTTGGAACCAAGGTTATGTTGGATGAATGTGAAACAGCTTTGTTACAGATACAGTATTTTATTTCTAGAGATTTCAAGCTAGACCCCCAGCTGTACAAAGCCTGCAAATATGATGCTGTTACTAAATGCAAAGCTAAACTTCAATGGGCTGACACCACTGAACACCAATCTGAAAAGGATCCCCTCATATTGCCTTGCTTGTATAATTATGCTTACAATTCTGAGCTAAAAGAAGAACTTAAACCAGCATGTGAACAGCAGGTTCGAAAAGTTATGAGGCAAAGAGCAGTAAATGTAGATCTGCTGCCAGAAATTGAAGACTTTTGTATTGATGACTTAGCTAAGATTTGCTTTGAGGGCACTGGTAAGGGAGAAGAAATCAGATGCTTACAAAGCAAGATTAAAGAGTTGTCACCAAAATGTAAAGAAGTGGTTGCAAACTTCACTGAGATGCAGAGTGGTCACATTGAACTGAATGCTGTAGTGAACAATAACTGCAGGATGCAAATCCAGAAACTGTGCTATTCAGAACTGAAAAGTAAAAAAGATGATGATGATGTCATGGAATGTTTGATTTCCCATAAAAATGATCCAGAAATTAAAGCTAATGTCAAATGTCGCGCTGCAATAGAACATGAGCAGCTGATCTCATTAAAAAACTATAGATTTACAAGAAAATTTAAGAATGCATGTAAATCTTATGTAGTCAGATATTGTCCTAAAGCACAAACCAAAAGCCAAGTGGTATCTTGTTTGAGTGAGATTGTTAGGAATGATACTATAACAAGGAGGAAACATACAATATTAAAGGACTGTAGACAGCAGTTGAGAAGTCAACTATTTCAGCAGAAGGAGAATATAGAATTGGATCCAGAGCTTCTGGAGGCTTGTAATAAGGATTTGAAAGAGTATTGCCCAAATGTGCCTCATGGGGAATCTGCTGCTTTAGAGTGCCTTCAAACAGCCAAGGGCAAGTTGAGTGACACCTGCAGGAGAGCCATATTTGTTGTCAGGAAGCAAGAGTTCAATGACAACGCCATTGATTATCACCTGATCACTAGTTGTAATGATATGATTGATTTATACTGCCATAATACTGAGACATCTAAAATTTTGGACTGCTTGAAGGTACAATCTACATTGTGTTTATAGACAAAATTAACTACGATAGGACTTTTACATTAGTAACTGAATGTTTCTGTTATTTCAGGCTCATAAACAGAAAACTGACTTTGATGAGAATTGCAAAATTGTTATAGTCAACAGAATGATTGAACAAAATACAGACTACAGGTTCAATAACAACTTGCAGAATGCTTGTAAAGATGACGTCATGAAATATTGTTCAGATATAATTGGTAAGAACTATTTAATATTTATTTATTTATTATTTATTTATTTATTTATTTTATAGAAACCAACAGCGATACATTGAAAATATTAGTTATAAGATTTAGACTGATAGTATAGCCAATGAAAGGTTTCCCTTTTTATAAAAGTACATTGTTGTTGGGAAAAAATATGAAAAAATATGCAAAGTACCTGCTAATAAATGTGGGCAGGCCCTCCACTAGGTGTACCGACGGTCCGGTAAAGGTCGCGGGAGGCACCTGGATGCGGGCAGCGCAGGACCGTACGTTTTGGGAATCTTTGGAGGAGGCCTTTGTCCAGCAGTGGACGTCATTTGGCTGAAGCAAACGAACCTACTAATATAAGCATTAATTTAACATACAGGATCTAATGGTGTTATAAGTCTATTTCACTTTGCCTTTACAGCACATGAACCTCAAGATGTAGAGCTCCAAGGAAAAGTATTATATTGCTTGAAGGAGAAATTCAGGGACTCAAAGCTGACAACACCGTGTGAGAATGAGCTGGCCAATGTACTGAAAGAACAAGCACTGAATTATCGTCTTGATCCTTTACTTGGCAAATTGTGTAAAGCAGAAATCCAGACAATATGTGCTGTGCCTAATGACTCCATAACCAATTCTGATGGCCAGGTAAATATTGATGGTTACTAGCCTAATACTAATTCTACATCTCTATTATTAGTCACACAATGGGTATTGTATACAGGGTGATCCATTCATTTGTGAATGATCAAACAAAAAAGGATTGATTCTACTCAAATACAACAACTTTCATACAGGAAAAATGCACAAGTTTTTGCAAATTGTTCCTGTAAGATTTTTTTGCATTTGAAAAGTACAATTAATCTTTTTTGTTTGAACACCCACAAAAAAGTCACCCTTACAGCCTACATGTTCTTCTTTTGGTCTGAAAATCGCAAATATTACAATAATGTAATGTGAATTTAAAAATTGTAACTTACAGCAAGCAAACTCCATGTTTCAGGTTGAAGAATGCCTTAAAAATGCCCTTCTCAATCACAAAATTGTGTCGGCTGAATGTGCCCGTGAAGTGGTTCAGATAATAGAGGAAACGGAGGTGGATATTGAGGCAGACCCTTTGCTAGAGAGGGCGTGTGCATTTGATCTCTTAAAGTATTGCAAGGATCTCGAGCATGGAGCTGGGCGACGTAAGCTTTTGTATATCTTACTAGTTTAATAATATTTTTATCAAATCTAATAAATGGTGAATTAAGAACTTGTACACGCGATGTTCTTTAATAGATGCGACGATGCGCGGTTGTAGCGATACAGACGCGATAATATATTATTATGCAAGTCGTACGTAGCCCAAAGACTAGCTGTGTAGGAAAAAAACGCATTGTCGGCGCATTTAGAAAACGGTGTGCACTGGCACACACATGTGGACAAAATGTATATTTTCTAATACGTTTCGTATCATATTATTTTATTACGAAGATGATAAAAATACTTTAATAACACTCCATTTGTTTCTTTTAGGTTTGAAATGTTTGAAAATCATTCTGAATGATAGTACTAGAAAGTTAGAACCAGATTGCCAGAAGGAGCTATCAAGCAGATTAGAAATGTATCGATATGTCGCATCTGTAAGTGCCATGTTAATTTTCATTATTTATTATAACTACCCACATAATTTACGAAGTAAATAATAACAATTTCTTGTTTATTTTTCAGGCAAACATGGTTGAAAACTTTGGCGATGTATTCAACGAACTCTCATCATCTCCATCAAAGAAGTATTTCCTAGTTGTATGCATATCTTTTGTAGGCTTAATTTTTATATTTGGTTTATATTGTGGTCGCATGACCAAAAGAGCTATGTATGTTAAAAGAAAATAGGATATAAATATTTACATAATAATTAAATAAGGGTGATTATAAAAATAAAAAACCGAACCTGCACTACAAGTATAAAAGTACAATTTATGAACAAATATTCTATTTATGAACAAAATATATTCTATCTATTCTTGTTATTTATTTCTATTTTTCTTTCTTTTTAGTAAATGTTAGTGAATCTTATAATCCCAGTCATCTAAAAACATGCTTAGGTAAGGTGCAAGATATTTAGAGTGATAGACACCAATGGTAACAATAATTTGCATTTATTTATTAATCTCAAATAAAACTTGTTGCAGGTTCGGTTTTTGATTTTTCTGTTACCCAAGTTTTATACTTTGTGTTTTACTCAGTACCTGAAAAATATTGTAGTACTTAAATGATAAATTAAAAACATCCGCCACATACAATAAGACAGCATATCAGGAAGATATGGGATAGGCAGGGCTTTATTGATTAGTAAAGACTATAGTATGTGTCAGTCTAAGAGCTCTTACACACGAGCAGCACATTGACGACAGCAAAGGCGACCGCAGTCGCCGTCACTTGTCGGCAGCTAGCCGTCGACGTGCCCGCAGCAAGCTGTCGACACGTCGACGTCTGCCGTCGACGAGTCGACAGCTTGCTGCGACGACCGTGTCGGCGTACGTCTTTGTACAGGAGCCAGCCAGTTGAAAATGGATTTCATTGAAGAAACACTGTTGTTGCATTACTCCGTCGTCGTCGACGAAAGAGAAAGAACCGGTCATTGTGGGTTTAAGAAATGTTATTGAATAGAGAACGAGACTACACACACCGACGCCCATGCTCTATTTTTTAATGTTTTATTATGGTAGCCTTCTAAATTCGAGTTCCATATTATTTCATTGTTTTTGACAGCACTAATTTTTTAGCAATTCCGAATCAATTTGTTCGGAACTCATTAGGTGTGCGTGTAAGCTCCTGGACTACTGACAGTTGACCTTCAAAATGGCGGAGGCGGCTAGCTGTCGCCACCTGCCGGCGGCAGCCGCGAACGCGTCGACAGCACGTCGGCAGCATGTCGACAGCTAGCCGTCGCCTTCTGACGTCGACTGCAGTTATAGATGACCCACGCTGAACTGTCCCGCCAAACTCAATGACAGGGGGGCGCTACCATCGTTCAACTATAAGGTTTCCAACATGGCAAAAATCTGAACCAGCGATCCGGTATTGACGGTGGCGCCCCACTGTCAATGTCATCGACAGGACAGTCCAGTATTTTGGAACTATACATGCGTCGACAGCAAAATGCTGTTCGTGTGTAAGAACCCTAATTTTATCAAGTTCTGGTTTAAAATGTAAAATATTTTGTGCGTTAACTTGTCCATTCTCATGAACTAGGTGGACATTAAAATTAAATAAATCTTACAATTGATCCAAACAACATTCTAGGAAAAGAAATCAAACAATCTTTACATAATCCTTATATTTAATTATCTAGACAATTACTTAAACTTAAAACTAATTCCATTCTGCCACATCATCAAACTCCATATCTTCAATGGATTCTTTTTTGATGTTTGGCTTATTTTCTTTCTTAGCTTCCACTTTAATTTCACCTTTGAGCAGTTTCTGGCTTTCTTCAAAGTATTGATTGGGATGATTTATGCCTAAACCAAAGTCAATGGAGTGTACGGTGTCGAAGTATTTGCTGCAAGCCACCTGGTAATGACCCTTTTTGGTCACTTCCACTATGTCATTTACAGCTGAAACAAAATTGTTTATTAGATCTTTATTCAATAAATTAACAGTGGCTAAATAATTTAAAATAATATTGTTTACCTTGAGGATCTAACCCATATCCTAGTAATTTATTCTTCAGATTGCTAACATCACAATGCCTATAAGGACATCCATGGCAGTCACCAGGACCAACAGTCTCATTTATTATTCTCAAACAGCTGAATGGGGAATAATTCTTCTTACTACCCTCTTTTCCATAGTTGTATCTGACATTGTAAGCATATTGCTTCTCAAATTTATCCAAATCCATCATTTTGGTAAACTCCTCCCTCCAAAATCTGAGAGAATCTTCCAAAGTCACTCCAATACCTTTCAAGAACAGGCCATATTGAAGTCTACCTCCATGTCTCAAGTGATGAGCTAACCTTAATTGGTCGTGCAGCTGTCTCATACACAACGGGAAAGATTTGAGTGAAAGGGAGTCCAAACTCTCAATAGGCACAACCGCTTTAGTGTCAGTAAAGTTGTTACCAGTATATGACTGGTGCAGGCCCTTCAATAGACTCACAAGCCTCTCATCCTGTTCAATCTCTCCAAGGTGGTGACAAGCAACAGCCAAGTTTTGCCTCAAATGTGTACGAAACTGAGCAGACAATACAGACACAAAGTCTTTATGTGGAATATAAGCATAACCACCTCTCAGAAATACTTTCCTGGACTTGACCAAATCTAGAACTTCATAGAATTTTACTTTATAAAATTTCATGTTGTCCACATTAGGATGAGAAGTTGATTCTCTGAGGAAGGTAATAACTTCATTTTTCTCTTCTTCAGATATATTGTTATAGCACAGATTGTTTAGTTTAAAAAAAGATTCTACAGCATCTCCACTCATGTTAATAAACCTCATTTTGAAAAGTTCCAGTTCTCTTGCCACAAACCAACGTCGTAGCTCTTCATTTCTGCAGTAAGCTAATCTAAGTATAAAGTGAGCAATGTGATCTTTTCTCCTAGCTTGTAAGTCGGCTTCTGTTGTACCACATTTAGAGACTTCGAAAAGCCTTGAATAGTATTTCAAACCTTGATTTCTTAGATCAGTTGTCACGAATTCCTTCCATTCATCAGAGTACGCTCGTAGTCCTCGCAAAGTTGTAGCTGTAGCTAAACTCCTAAGAAGTGTTAGCCTCTCCAAAGCTAAGGTTTCAAACTCTTGTAAAGAAATGTTTTCAGTTGGCGGAACTTTATACATTTGAAGATCATGAGGATAGGTTTCCATGAGACTTCCTGTAACCGGAGCTCGCGTAGATTTTCGTCGTATGTTCAAATCCATTATTATGTTTTATTTATCAATGTGTTTTATAACTGGAAAATAGCATTACACTATTTATCAAATTAATAAATTGAAAATTAAATAAAAACAGGCCCTGTCTCATCTGTGTGTAGGAAACAACAATAAAAAATGGCGCGAATATTTTGACAATTTGACACTGACAGTATTTTTTTTAAACAATTGTGTGTCGAGGGTAATGATTTCCATTCAACGAAATTTTTCAATAAAAATATGTCATCGTAAAAAAACGGTAACGTTAATTACTTAAATTTTTCCGTTTTCCTTTACACCTTGTGAACTGCCTAGGGCCCGGTTTCCACCTAGGTGGAACCAAATTCCACCTAGGTCGTCAATTTGTCAGCGGGTGGCAGCGCGACGCGAAGCGGAGCTGTGCAGAGCGGAGACGAGAAGTGGAAATAATGAAATCTGGTTAATCAATACACTTCTCTGCTCCGCTCCGCTTTAGTGGAAGCCGGTAAAATTGTTAACTAAGGCGAATTAACGTTAGCTGTAAAATGAAATAACGTAGTAACGTTATTGATGTAGTCGAAAAATGGGTCCATCTTTCGACTGCATAAAATGAAACGTAAACTCAAGTGACACGCATGCTGTCACGCTGTTTCCGTCATTCCTTTTCCTTTTGACAGTACGATGAGCCTGCCTGTCAAGTTTGAGTAAACTCGAGCAAAACACGATAATTCATTTATAAATTAATTCTACCTGTGTTTGCAAAATTAGATATGTCTGTATTATAAATCAAGTAAATTTAGGCTATGTGTGTTGAGTGGACGAATGATTCATTTGTAATTTAACAAAACATGGTATCTAATAAAATGCAGTCGTCATTAGACGATTTAGTTCAATATACACAACTTTTTAAACCGGTGCCGACTATTTTACAAGGGACCGTGTTACCTTTTCTGATAATCTACCCGGTGGTGTTCTATTCGTGGATAGCAGTGTATGGTTTTGAGGATAACTTTGAAGCTGGCTTTGTGACAGTGGCGGTGGTGGCAGTGATTCAAATTTTGATCTGCCTGTGCTGTTACTGGAGTGTGCACATTCAGTGCTTCCTTTCTTGCTCTGCGGTGAGTTAATTGAACTGAAGGTTCCCTTGTTACCAGCATTTCCAAGAGTTATTTTATGTATTTTAAACTCTAATGTTGGATTCATTGTAACCTTAATTGATTAAGTGTTCCCACCCGTCAGTGTAATTTAATTTATTGTGCAGGTGAAAGATCCTAACCAAGCTGAGATAGTGAAAGTGGTCCCTACTTCCAACAATGGATTTTCAGAAATTGTTAGGTTGCACCATACAGTGGTAAGTAATTATAACTAGCATGAAAGAAAGAAGAATTTATTGAGATATTTGATTGAATAAACAGATTTTTATTCATGCTTTTTCATTTCAGTCCACTAAAAAAGGAAGTACTAATCCAGATTTATGGTTTATATTTCAAAAGAGTAAATATATTTACGATTGGGATAAGAAGACTTTCCATACTGTGGAGTTCCCAATCAACAAAACTTATGAAGAGTATATGGAGTCCAAAGGTTTTGTGGATGATGAGAGCATAGAGACAGCTGAAAAGGAGTTGGGGAAAAATGAGATGGTTATGGTAAGTTCAATCATCTCTTCAATACTAATTAACCCATCAAACCCCAAGCAGTCGTATAAGACCACATAAAAATTGATTTCTATTGTGTTTCTGTATGCAAGGATTGAAGGTTTAATAGAATTTTCAAAGTTTCTATAACACTGGCAACTGGTTTAGAAAATACCAAATTGATTAATTGATAATCAATTGGAGTAGTTGTGATTTTGTTGCATTTGTAAAAATTACCTGATTAAAGTTTAAGCTCAATTGTTATTATTTTCCAGGTTGTTCCAGAATTTATGGAGCTGTTCAAAGAAAGGGCAACTGCTCCATTTTTTGTGTTCCAAGTATTCTGTGTGGCTCTGTGGTGTCTTGATAAGTATTGGTATTATTCAATATTCACCCTCGTGATGCTTGTTATGTTTGAGTGCACTCTTGTACAGCAACAACTTAGAAATCTGGCTGAGATTAGAAAAATGGGCAACAAGCCTTACAATATTAATGTTTATAGAAACAGGAGGTGGCGACAAATCATGAGTGACCAACTTCTCCCTGGTGACATTGTGTCCCTCACCAGATCAGTCAATGAAAATCTAGTACCTTGTGACATAGTCCTTCTAAGAGGCTCTTGTATAGTAGATGAATCCATGTTAACCGGAGAAAGTGTGCCTCAGATGAAGGAGCCAGTAGAAAATGAGAAAAAC